TCATTTCGGGCCTGATATGATTGTGTTTTATTAATGTCTTTATCTTATTTATACCCACTGAAAATTGTGAAAAGAGTAAATTCATAACTGGCAAGCCCGTCAAAACATTTAAACACGGAGGTTTGTTATATATTGTGGTTTCCTGTGTTAGATTTATTCTTATGATTTTACTTTCTCGTATACAGAGTTATGAGAAAGTATTGTAATAGTGCACAAAAACAACATGAAACTGACAGTTTTCACCGTTTTATACCTCAGTCCTTCATCACATCCGGAGTATAGAGGACTTATTTTAATCGGGCAAAAATTACAAATCCAGATATATAAAAATTTAGGCGTTTTATGCGTTATCAAGTCCAAAAAAATGGACTTTGCAATTATGTCCGTATGTCTGTGTGTGTATGTGTGTATGTCTGTAAACACGATAACTTGAGTACCGTTACAGCTAGGTTGATGAAATTTTATATATAACTATTATATCAAATTTGTCGATCCGTATCAACTTTTCATCGAATTCCAATAACCGAAAGTGGAACTTACTCTACTTTCAACTTTTTCAAAAGTCTATAAATTGAGTACTATTTCTGATAGATAAATGAAATTTCACACGTAAGTAAAAGATTAACTTCTCTGCCTTCCGTCAAATTTTAATTAATTTCCGTTGACCGGAAGTAGTAATTTACGCTATTTCCGATTTCTCAAAAAGTATTAAAAGTACTATTAATATTCCGCACTATTATACACGTTTTGTTTGGCGTTCACTTAGTGAGCAATTCTTTTTTCTGCGATATTTTGTTCTATTTTTTAAAAGTTTAAGTAATTAAAAATCGATTATCCCGAGTTGCCATACCCAGTTGTTTTATTCGAGAATATTCGAGAAAGTTTAGGGGAGATCACTCCCGGTTTATTTTGCATTATTATCAGGGGCGTAACTACAGTGCCGCCAGGGGGATACAAACCAACCACAAACACAAACCCAAAGAAAAAAACACAAACGAAAACGAAAAAAGAAGGAACAAAAACGAACCAAATCAAAACGCAACCACTAACGCAAACCCATATTCACATATAAAAAAATAAATAAAAATTAAGTTTGACTTGGTGTGTCTCGATCCCGCACTACCTGCGTGGTATTAAGTACACTATCATCTATAAGTTAGGCAGGAAAAATTGTATTGTATACATTTCATAGCGTACGTAGATCTAAATCAAATTTGAATGAAATAGTTCATTTCTTTGTATTCTAAACACGGCAGATGACGTCATTAGTTAATGTATAAACTATAGAGACGTCACAGTTTTATGCGTTCTTTTTCACAACTATTAACGCTTTTCCTGTTGCATAATCAAAACTGTTTTTCTACATTCGAATTCGCCTTTATTTTTTATTTTTCTTCTTTAAATAAAATTGTGGTTATACATTTAGAACATCTACCATATTATTTTCAACTAAAGTCCGTATCAAGTTCTCTATATATCGCTGAAGATTCTGACGTGATATCCGGCGAAAATATTTTGCGGACAGAGAGAGAGAGAGAGAGAGAGAGAGAGAGAGAGAAGTGCGCACATGGACTTTTATATATATATATATATATATATATATATATATATATATATATATATATATATATATATATATATATATATATATATATATATATATATATATATATATATATATATATACTAGCCGTCCCGGCCAGGCCCTGCTCTGGCTTCTGTGAAAAACCTTTCTGTTCAAGACCATTACCTTTGTGTTTAGTAATCATCCTAAACCCGGCATTGCCCACCCAAACCACAACCAACCAAAACAACAAAACGCAAACATAACGCTAACACAATTACAAATGCAAACGAAAACAAAAACCTAACAACAAACCCAACCACAACCACAAACACCAATACAAACACAAAGAAAAAACAAACAAAAAAGCAAACGAAAACAAAAACCTAACAACAAACCCAACCACAACCACAAACACCAATACAAACACAAAGAAAAAACAAACAAAAAAGCAAACGAAAACAAAAACCTAACAACAAACCCAACCACAAACACCAATACCAACAAAAAAAAACAACAACGAAAAAGCAAACGAAAACAAACCAAATCCAAACGCAAAACCAACCAAAAACACAAATACAAACCCAAACAAAGAAACACAAACAAAAACGAAAAAAGAAAGAACAAAAACGAACCAAATCAAAACGCAACCACTAACGCAAACCCACCTAAACACAAAGAAAACACTAACGCGAACATAAACGCCCGGGGCGGAATCACCTGTTTTAGCTTAATGAACGACTATAGTACCCCAACTTATTCATAGTCTTTTGCACTCACTTAAACGAACGCGCCTGTTTCAATTTGATGAACAATTTTAATACTCCAAGCTTATCCGTAAAATACCTACAACATTTGCACTTGATCAATCCCCGCTAATTATGTAATTATTTTTTTTCCCAACACCAAAACAAAGTAATTAAAAAGTAAATACTTTTCCACAAAATGCAATGTTTTTATAAAGGGAAGTAATTGTGTTTTTCCTAATTTATCAAAGGGAAGTAAGTGCTATAGGACTAAATAAAGACATAATTAGAATTTTTGTAAAAGATGATATTTTTTTTAAAACTTGTGTTTAATGAACATGCCGACAATTATTACTTTAATTTGAAAAATGAAAATTATTTCCCAACACTTTCAATAGTAATTTTTTAGCTCATAAATTTAGACAAATGCGCACGATAATTTTCTAACTTTTAAATTCGTACACTTCCAACGACATACAAATGCATTACATACAGAACTGAGCTTTATATATTAGATATATATATATATATATATATATATATATATATATATATATATATATATATATATATATATATATATATATATATAAAGCTCAATTCTGTATGTAACATGTAATATGTAAATTGTAAAATGTTTGTCGCGGATACTTTGATGGATTTAAGTGTTAGGTTATTAAAGTCCTTATGGTCTAAATTTATGAGTTAAAAAATTATTATTGAAAGTGTTGGGAAATAATTTTCATTTTTCAAACTGAAAGTAATAATTGTCGGCATGTTCATTAAACACAAGTTTTAAAAAATATCTTTTACAAAAATTCTAATTATGTCTTTATTTAGTCATTTAGCACTTACACCCCTTTGATAAATTAGGAAAACACAATTACTTCCCTTTATAAAAAACATTGCATTAGTTGAAAAGAATTTACTTTTTATTACTTTGTTTTGGTGTTGGGAAAAAAATAATTACATAATTAGCGGGAATTGATCAAGTGCAAATGTTGTAGGTATTTTACGGATAAGCTTGGAGTATTATAATTGTTCATTAAATTGAAACAGGCGCGTTCGTTTAAGTAAGTGCAAAAGACTATGGATAAGTTGGGGTACTATAGTCGTTTATTAAGCTGAAACAGGCGATTCCGCCCCGGGCTAGACTGTGAGCACTTTGCGTTTATGTTCGCGTTAGTGTTTTCTTTGTGTTTAGGTTGGGTTTGCGCTAGTGGTTGCGTTTTGATTTGGTTCGTTTTTGTTCTTTCTTTTTTCGTTTTTGTTTGTGTTTTTTTCTTGGGTTTGTATTTGTGTTTGTGGTTGGTTTTGCATTTGGATTTGGTTTGTTTTCGTTTGCTTTTTCGTTTTTTTTTCTTTGTGTTCGTATTGGTGTTTAAGGTTGTGGTTGAGTTTGTTGTTAGGTTTTTGTTTTCGTTTGTATTTGTAATTGTGTTAGCGTTATGTTTGCGTTTTGTTGTTTTGGTTTTGGTTGGTTGTGGTTTGGGTGGGCAATGCCGGGTTTATAATGATTACTAAACACACAGGTAATGGTCTTTAACAGAAAGGTTTTTCACAAAAGCCAGAGCAGGGCCTAGCCGGGACGGGACCCCTAGTATATATATATATATATATATATGGGGGGGGGTAACATTTTTTTGCAGGGTGGCCCTGATTATTATTAATAGTTTTGAATACATTTTTTATTGCTCAGTCCTTCTGTAGAGTATTATTATGCCTTATTTTAATAATAATTAAAAGAAGAATTTTCTTTCTAATTAGAATAGTACAAAACTATTAAAATAAGTTTTTTTGGCAGCCTTATTATTTGAAGAGGAGCGATAAGTCATGGAAGTGGCTTGAAGCTTTGCCCATCTTTCAAACTACAGCTCATGTAGTTGTTTTGTTTATTATTAAACAGTGTGTTGGTAACTGTAGAATAATCTCTGCTGCAGTACCTCTGCTGTTTGTTTTTTTTTCTTACAAAACCACTGGTCTATTTAGGTGCAAAATAAAATACGCGGGGTCTAGAGGGATGGTAGTTCCGCCACTGGTGGTCTGGAGGGATGGTAGTTCCGCCACTGGTGGTCTAGAGGGATGGTAGTTCCGCCCCTGGTGGTCTAGAGTCTGGAGGGATGGTAGTTCCGCCCCTGGTGGTCTGGGGGGATGGTAGTTCCGCCCCTGGTGGTCTAGAGTCTGGAGGGATGGTAGTTCCGCCCCTGGTGGTCTAGAGTCTGGAGGGATGGTAGTTCCGCCCCTGGTTTAAGGCCTGCAAACTTCCGAACCCGGAAAAACTGAGTTTGCAGTCCTGTCCGTCTGTGTGTGTATGTCTGTGTGTATGTGTGTGTGCATGCATACGAAACTTCATACACGGACAGACACATAGACAGACATACAAACAAATAAAAGCTTATAAAAATCTGAATAACTGATGATATGCAATGCTTTAATAAACGAATGCAGTTATTGTATTTCTTATATAAACTAAAAAAACAAATATCATATTTTGTTACATTTTTCTTAAAGTATATATCAAATTTATTCAGTAATATTAAAATGAGAAATTTCAAAAGATTTGACTAGATAAAGTTAAGGTGGTTGTGTCAATAAAGAGACACAACCTAGAAAATACAAGCGTCATCAAAATCCGTCTCCTCCCCCCCCCCCCCCCCCCCACCCAACCCCACCCGCAATCAAATGTCACTTTTCTTGATGGACGAGAGAGAAACGATTGTAAGATGTCTAAAAGACAAAACACACGATGCTAGAAATGTGCCAGCTTGTCATTGCCTTCCTATTTCAATCAGATTTCTTACTTCATTGAAACTTACTACACTTTTCCAATCCAATTTAAGAAACCGGAAAAAACACAGCCGTTTTTCAATTTCCCGGGCCGGAAATAACTACCTAAGGGAAGTAATACATCAGACGTGGTCCAGAAGTGGCAGCCGACACTCAGATGTGCTTGTATCATTGGTGATACAGCATTTGATGGTGTAGCGGGGGTGACATAGACATTTCAGTATAGCGGTGGTGACATAGACATTTTAGTATAGCGGTGGTGATAAGGACATTTAGATGACACAGGATCGACACAGAGATCATTAATGTTGCAGGAGTTTGACTTCAAACAAGATTCACTACAAACTTTGGCTAGTGTTAAAAGATTCACTACAAACTTTGGCTAGTGTTAAAAGATTCACTACAAACTTTGGCTAGTGTTAAAAGATTCACTACAAACTTTGGCTAGTGTTAAAAGATTCACTACAAACTTTGGCTAGTGTTAAAAGATTCACTACAAACTTTGGCTAGTGTTAAAAGATTCACTACAAACTTTGGCTAGTGTTAAAAGATTCACTACAAACTTTGGCTAGTGTTAAAAGATTCACTACAAACTTTGGCTAGTGTTAAAAGATTCACTATAAACATTGGCTAGTGTTAAAAGATTCACTACAAACATTAGCTAGTGTTAAAAGATTCACTACAAACTTTGGCTAGTGTTAAAAGATTCACTACAAACTTAAGCTAGTGTTAAAAGATTCATTACAAACATTGGCTATAAGTGATTAAAAAAAGCCTACTTTCTTGCTCTTAAAATAGTAAGCTTGATTTCTGTCAATCCAAACACCTTGTTTAAAACAAGTTGACCTAATTTTGTAAAGAATAATATTGTTTGGAGACTAGCGTTCTAGTTTACAGTCGTCATTACACTATTAAAACGATTGCATGGCGGCATATTACACAATTCAAACGATTGCATGGCGGCACATTACACAATTCAAACGATTGCATGGCGGCACATGACACAATTCAAACGATTGCATGGCTGGGTCGTCAAAATGTCCTTTGTGTGATCTGGGGCTGGACGCTGGTGGGGTTACGTCGGAGGATGTCTGCTGTGTTGGCGAGGCCACTGACCACACACACGCCCAGGGCGCTCCTGTTGTGGCTCATGTTTGTCGACTGGTACCTGGATGGTGGTGGGGGGGGGGCGATATGACGTCATTAAACATCTGGTATTTATGGGGTATGGTTTGACAAAAAATCTAACACAGCAGGACGGAAAGACAGGACAAAGCACAAGGGAGCATGACATAGGTAACAAATGGAATCCCAAATAAACATATATATATATATATATATATATATATATATATATATATATATATATATATATATATATATATATATATATATACGAGAAAAATGGCCCCTTGAGGAAGGATACAACGGGCGCTAGGTTGATAGTGCTGTCTATTTTCTCTAAACTAAAACCAAAACCCAAATCCCCACCTTAATTCAATTTAACTGGAAACGAAAAATGACGTTGAAAACGGATTTTTATCCAGAATCGGTACTTTAATTTATACAAAATATAGTCATAGACATATCCCTAAACCATGCACCTAATCTCATTCATGACAAAAGTCGCATTTAGAGTTTCTTCCCCCCCCCCCCCCCACACCCCCCAAAACATGTCTACCGTCCCATTCAACGAAATATAATTATATACTTTTTCCAGTGTCCGCCCCCTCCCAGAAAATTCTACCCCCGCCCCCCAAAAAATCCAAGTACCCCCCACCCCTCGCCGGTTAGGAAAAAGTCTGAAAGAAACACTGGTCGCATTTGTAGAACATACAAACTAAAGGAAGAACATGGGCGGGGAAGAGATGCATGAAAAAAACTGTGCACGCTAAACACTATTTAGATTTTTTTCCACCTCCGGGAAGGAAAAAGTCTGAAAGAAACACTGATGTCGCGCTTAGCCATTACCCGAAGAATTGCATGAAAGAAACTCTTCACGCAAACCACTTTTTAGATTAGACACATTAATTAGGCGGTCATTTTTATTATAGAGTATCGATGTAGAAATTTCTTTTGAGTTGGGGTCGGCTTAGACGTTCTTTCGCGAGGGTGGGGCTTCGCCCCTACTCGAAGAATTGTATGAATGAAACTCTTCACGCAAACCGCTTAGATTAGACAAAATTGCCTTTTTATTCAATGTTTACTCGAGAATCAATGACGTCATATTACTGTGTGCACTCTACGGCTTGATACTATTTTCTACAATATGCTAAATGTGACGTCATATTTCGTTTCCGTCTTACTGTGCATGTTTTTAATTTGCTTGTGTTTTCTCTAGAGTAGTCTAGAGCGTTCTTGTCAGATACATACACAGATAGATAGATACACAGATAGATAGACAGACAGCGAAACTATTAGTATTATATATATATATATATATATATATATATATATATATATATATATATATATATATATAAAGCAATGTATGTCTGTCTGTGTGTCTATCTGTCTGTTATGCATTACTACACCTCTCATCACATCGCCGTGAAACTTTGGGAAGTTGTTGAGAATATTCCTGGGGAGGTTTCTGCGAAAAAAAAATTTCCAATTCGCAGGGGTGGCGCCCCGGCAGGGCGCGATTTTTTTTTATATCTGTATACGGTATATAAAAATAAAAGTCGATTTTTGTTTGACAGCGTTCACCCGATAGCCATGAGACTTTAGGGAGTTGATTAGAACACGCTAGGGAAGTGTTCTGTAAAAAAATCATTTGGCACGATGGCGCCTTTTAGTTTTAAGGAGCCAGGGGTGGTACGCCGCGCCTATGCGCCTAGAGCGCCCCTCTACGTCTCTGACACATGGGCGGTCACCGAAGTGTGTTCTACCATATTATTTCCGTCAGTGATTAATGTACACATATGGTTTTCATGCGGTAGTGTAGGTAAACCCGTGTCCCAATATTTATGATCCAAGCGCAGGCATTGTTTACATTTAACTCACTTTTAGAAAACAAGGCCACGAGTCTAAGAATATAGGATTGGGATACGATTTAACAACGTTAATCCCAAACTTTCGAGAGTTGATGAGAATTTTTATAGGCGGCGCCCAGGAGGGTGTGATGTTTTTTAAATACACGGTTTATTCCCTGAGTTCCATAGCGGCAATCAGCATATGGTATCCGTTACCTGGGCGTCCCGCATAGCGAGTAAGGGGTACTACTATATTCAGAGGTAAACTGCGTGAAGCGAAGCGCCCCGAGCTCCACTGTGAACACTATGGGACCTTCAATCGTTTTAAACACACAAAAAAAGAGATTATGCACTAAAAAACGACGAACAACAATAATTGATGACTATATCGAATCAAGCGCGTCCTCCGGCGCCCGGCAGGGGGGCAATTAGGTGCACCTGGCTCTTCCGTGAACACTACGGCGCCTACGTTAGTGTTAAAGAGTGCGATAGCCTATGGATACAATGGGTTGCTATACTCGCTCGCTAAATCGAATCATGCGCACTCTCTGACGCCACACAAGCTTAAATCAGCGCTATGGAGAATACGTCCGTTTTAATGAGTGCGATAGAATATGGAAAAAATGTGGTATTATACACGTTCCCTATCGTGGGATTTGGCGCCCTGGGCTATCTTATGAGCACTATGGTGCCTACTTTAGTATTAAGGAACACCCTATAAAATTGCGGTAGTGTAGCTTGGGGCTCCTGAGAGCATCCTGCTACGTCCCTGACACCTGGGCGGTCGCTGAAGTGTTCTTACTATTACTGAGAGTGGGTAACGTACATTCAAGGCTTTCATACAGAACGCCCAGGAGTATGATAGGCAAACCCGTGCCATGGCACATACGATCCAAGAAAAATAGTGAATTCATTTTTTACATTTAAATAACTCATAGGTCACACGTCTAAGAAAATAGGATTGGTAAGGCGATGATGAAAACCTCACTTACGTCAGACTTTCTTTATTGAAGACCGCGGCAAAGCGTAGGAACCGGCAAGCTTGTATATATATATATATATATATATATATATATATATATATATATATATATATATATATATATATATAGTATGTGTGCGTGTGTTTGTGGGCTTGTTTGTTTCTATGCATTACTACACATTTCATTTGATCGTCATGAAACTTTGGGAAAGTAATAAAAACAGTCCAACGAAGGTTACTGCGAAAGAAAACATTTCGATTTTGCAATGTGCGCCCCGACATTGTACAATTTGTCACCCCCGGTTTTCCCGTGAGAGCTATGGCGCATACGTATGTTTTAAACAGTGCGATAGGTTATGGATAAGATGGGGCATTTTAGCCGTTCAATAAATTGAAGCACGCGCTTTCGCCGGGGCAACCGCAGGAAAATTTAGCGACCCGGGCTGTCCCGTGAGCACGATAGCGCCTACGTTACTTTTAAAGAACACCATACAATATTTATACAGAGGCACACACAATCGACCATACAATATTTATACAGTAGCACACACAATCGGTGATTGAAACGAGCCAGAAGCCGTACCCGGTGCCCGGTTCAACTGCGGTAGTAGGCAAAAGATGAAAAAATATATACATACACACAACCCAAAACATTGAAACAAACCGAAACATTGAAACAACCCGAAACATTGAAACAACCCGAAACATTAAAACAACCCGAAACATTGAAACAACCCGAAACATTGAAACAACCCGAAACATTGAAAGAACCCGAAACATTGAAACAACCCGAAACATTGAAACAACCCGAAACATTGAAACAACCCGAAACATTGAAACAACCCGAAACATTGAAACAACCCGAAACATTGAAACAACCCGAAACATTGAAACAACCCGAAACATTGAAACAACCCGAAACATTGAAACAACCCGAAACATTGAAACAACCCGAAACATTGAAACAACCCGAAACATTGAAACAACCCGAAACATTGAAACAACCCGAAATATTGAAACAACCCGAAACATTGAAACAACCCGAAACATTGAAACAACCCGAAACATTGAAACAATCCGAAACATTGAAACAACCCGAAACATTAAAACAACCCGAAACATTGAAACAACCCGAAACATTAAAACAACCCGAAACAGTGAAAGAACCCACCAGGAATTGGCGGAGAAATCGTAGCACTCGACGACAGCCGTCGTCCTGTCCCCCGTGTAGCCACCGATGGCGTACAGTCGCCCCTCCAGTACCTCCACGGCCAGGTTGCTGTCAGGGAAATCAAAGGTTGCTTCAAGGTCACTTCAAGGTCAAGGTTAGTATAAGGTCGTTTTATGTAAAGGAATATAACTTCACAGTTCATGAAATGCAAATTAAAACATGGGTGGTTTTAAAAAATGCATTAAAAATTTGTTTGGAGGGTGGGGTTAAAGCCTTAGACCTAGATGGACTTCTCTGACCTTGATACAGTAAGCCATGACATTAGATTGGGTAAAGCCTTGACCTTAGATTGGATAAAGCCATGACCTTAGATTGGGTAAAGCCTTGACCTTAGATTGGGTAAAGCCTTGACCCTCGCTATGATAAGGTCTTTACCCTAGAGAGAATAAACTGGTGACCTTAGGTTGAGTTAAGCATTGACCTTAGGGTAAAGCCTTGACCTACAAACACTACGACCTTGCTCTATGACTGCTCACCTTCTGGGACTGGGCATTGGCTCCAGGCGCGTCCACTGTCGGGTGAGCGGGCAGTAGGACTCCATTGTTGAGAGACGCACGGAGCTGTCCGTCCCATCGAAGCCTCCGACAGCGTAGAGGCGAGAGTTGAAGGCCACGAGGCCAAGGCCACTGCGGCCTCGTGGCATGCTGGGCTCGGATGTCCACTGGTCCGTGTCGGGGTCGTACAGCTCCACAGCTCTGATACACTCCAGGCCGTTAAAGCCCCCGCACACATACAGCTTGTCTGGGGGGGGGGGGGGGGGCAGGGGGGTGAGCTTTTGTTGGATTAGGCGAAATAATACGGGCGGGGAATGGTGGGGGAAATTGGCGGAGAGAAACATTCCTGTCTGTCAGACATGTCAGGTGACACTTTGGTCTATACAGATGTCACGTGTCAAGATGTCACAAACAGGACTGACAAGTCAATATGTCACACCAAGAACTGACACGTCACTAACCGTCCAACACTGCCACCCCAGCGTCACTCCTCTGCTGCAGCATGGGTGAGATGAAGCTCCACTGATTGGATTCTTTGTTGAACTTCTCGGCGCTGTTCAGTCGGTACACGCCGTCATAGCCTCCCACAGCATAGATATAACCTCTACACTCGGCCACACCTACATAACATCTGCAGATACAGCATAGATATAACCTCTACACTCGGCCACACCTACATAACATCTGCAGATACAGCATAGATATAACCTCTACACTCGGCCACACCTACATAACATCTGCAGATACAGCATAGATATAACCTCTACACTCGGCCACACCTACATAACATCTGCAGATACAGCATAGATATAACCTCTACACTCGGCCACACCTACATAACATCTGCAGATACAGCATAGATATAACCTCTACACTCGGCCACACCTACATAACATCTGCAGATACAGCATAGATATAACCTCTACACTCGGCCACACCTACATAACATCTGCAGATACAGCATAGATATAACCTCTACACTCGGCCACACCTACATAACATCTGCAGATACAGCATAGATATAACCTCTACACTCGGCCACACCTACATAACATCTGCAGATACAGCATAGATATAACCTCTACACTCGGCCACACCTACATAACATCTGCAGATACAGCATAGATATAACCTCTACACTCGGCCACACCTACATAACATCTGCAGATACAGCATAGATATAACCTCTACACTCGGCCACACCTACATAACATCTGCAGATACAGCATAGATATAACCTCTACACTCGGCCACACCTACATAACATCTGCAGATACAGCATAGATATAACCTCTACACTCGGCCACACCTACATAACATCTGCAGATACAGCATAGATATAACCTCTACACTCGGCCACACCTACATAACATCTGCAGATACAGCATAGATATAACCTCTACACTCGGCCACACCTACATAACATCTGCAGATACAGCATAGATATAACCTCTACACTCGGCCACACCTACATAACATCTGCAGATACAGCATAGATATAACCTCTACACTCGGCCACACCTACATAACATCTGCAGATACAGCATAGATATAACCTCTACACTCGGCCACACCTACATAACATCTGCAGATACAGCATAGATATAACCTCTACACTCGGCCACACCTACATAACATCTGCAGATACAGCATAGATATAACCTCTACACTCGGCCACACCTACATAACATCTGCAGATACAGCATAGATATAACCTCTACACTCGGCCACACCTACATAACATCTGCAGATACAGCATAGATATAACCTCTACACTCGGCCACACCTACATAACATCTGCAGATACAGCATAGATATAACCTCTACACTCGGCCACACCTACATAACATCTGCAGATACAGCATAGATATAACCTCTACACTCGGCCACACCTACATAACATCTGCAGATACAGCATAGATATAACCTCTACACTCGGCCACACCTACATAACATCTGCAGATACAGCATAGATATAACCTCTACACTCGGCCACACCTACATAACATCTGCAGATACAGCATAGATATAACCTCTACACTCGGCCACACCTACATAACATCTGCAGATACAGCATAGATATAACCTCTACACTCGGCCACACCTACATAACATCTGCAGATACAGCATAGATATAACCTCTACACTCGGCCACACCTACATAACATCTGCAGATACAGCATAGATATAACCTCTACACTCGGCCACACCTACATAACATCTGCAGATACAGCATAGATATAACCTCTACACTCGGCCACACCTACATAACATCTGCAGATACAGCATAGATATAACCTCTACACTCAGCCATACAAAGATGGCATCGACAGATACTGACACAATGTTACGCAAAATAGCGGGTTTAAGGTTAAGTTTATTTTAAGGCCAGGGTTAACCCTCCCTAGGTCCACCAACCCCCCTAGGTCCAGGGTTAACCCTCCCTAGGTCCACCAACCCCCCTAGGTCCACCAACCCTCCCTAGGTCCACCAACCCCCCCCCCCCCCCCCCCTTGGTCCACCAACCCTAACTAGGTCCACCAACCTCCCTTGGTCCACCAACCGTAAATAGGTCCACCAACCCCTTGTCCACCAACCCTCCCTAGGTCCACCAACCCCCCTTGGTCCACCAACCCTAATTAGGTCCACCAACCCCCCTTGGTCCACCAACCTTCCCTAGGTCCACCAACCCCCCTTGGTCCACCAACCCTCCCTAGGTCCACCAACCCCCCTTGGTCCAGCAACCCTAACTAGGTCCACCAACCCCCTTGGTCCACCAACCCTAACTAGGTCCACCAACCCCCTTGGTCCACCAACCCTAACTAGGTCCACCAACCCCCATGGTCCACCAACCCCCTTGGTCCACCAACCCTCCCCAGGTCCACCAACCCTCCCCAGGTCCACCAACCCTCCCTAGGTCCACCAACCCTCCCTAGGTCCACCAACCGACCCTAGGTCCACCAATTCTGACTGGTGCTGACCCAATGCTGGGTCTTGTGCTGACCACATCATCTCATAATATGCCGCACTAGCAGAAACAGGTGAACCTCTACTTCACTTGCCAAATGTACTGTCATGTTCTAAAGGGAACTAAGGGTTACGATTAGACTATGGGTTATGATTTGACCAGTGCCGTTCATGTGTTAGGGTTAGACCCAGTGGCGTAGCCAGGATCGTCTCAAGGGGGGGGTTCCAATTTTTACCCGGGGACAAACTTTTCATTTGCACCCCCCCCCCCCCGCCCTCAAACTTTCAATTCGCACCCCCCCCCCTCAAACTTTCGATTTGCACCCCCCCTCAAACTTTCGATTTGAACTCCCCACCCCCCTTAAACTTTCGATTTGCACCCCCCCCCCTCAAACTTTCGATTTGTACCCCCCCCCCCTCATACTTTTTATATATATATATCGAGGGGTCTATGGGGGGGGGGTTATGATCCCCCTAACCCCCCCCCCCCCTGCCTACGCCACTGGTTAGACCAGTACCGTTCATGGGTTAGGGTTAGACCAGTACCGTTCACGGGTTAGGGTTAGACCAGTACCATTCATGGGTTAGGGTTAGACCAGTACCGTTTGGTGTTCATGGGTTAGGGTTAGACCAGTACCGTTCATGGGTTAGGGTTAGACCAGTACCGTTTGGTGTTCATGGGTTAGGGTTTGATCAGTACCGTTTGGTGTTCATGGGTTAGGGTTAGACCAGTACCGTTCATGGGTTAGGGTTAGACCAGTACCGTTCATGGGTTAGGGTTTGATCAGTACCGTTTGGTGTTCATGGGTTAGGGTTAGACCAGTACCGTTCATGGGTTAGGGTTAGACCAGTACCGTTCATGGGTTAGGGTTTGATCAGTACCGTTCATGGGTTAGGGTTAGATCAGTACCGTTTGGTGTTCATGGGTTAGGGTTAGACCAGTACCGTTCATGGGTTAGGGTTAGACCAGTACCGTTTGGTGTTCATGGGCGTCACATCCTCCCATGTTAGTGACGCGGGCTTAAGCTTGCAGCAGCTGCTAAGGTACACCTGGCCGCTGAAACCGCCGATGACGTAGATCTCGTTGTCCAGGGCAACCATCCCATGGTATGACCTGGGAGCTGAAAAAAATGTTTAGGTTCCAATGTGTACTTTATCGTGTACAGAAAATGTAGGTTCCAATGTGTATTTTCTCGTGTATGGAAAATGTAGGTTCCAATGTGTACTTTCTCGTGTATGGAAAACGTTGCAATCAGCATGAAAAATAGAAATCGAATTTTTACAATGTTGTCTGTCTGTCGGTCCGTCCGTCTGTCTGTCTGTCTGTCTGACTGAAAGTACAATCACTTGTGTACCGACTGAGTTAGGCTCCGATATTTTATAAATATTTGTGTTATTGTTTTTTATTTTGAACGATTTCCGGTAAAAGTACCGTAATAATTAGATGGACGAAATGTATTTCCCTTATATGTATTTCACTTTATGCGTACTTTTCTTTAACGTGTGAAACCGAAAGTGGTGCTTAATTAATTCCGATAACCGGAAGTGGTACTTTGTGTATGGTTTCTATAACACTAATAACTTGAGTCCGTTCAGTTGTGTGGACGAAATTGTATCTATATGTATAGGATTTTATTATCTCAATTCTGTTAAATCTTTAGTGATTCAGGGACCGGCAAGACTTTTCTACGCTATTCTGAATTTACTAGATGGGAAAATTAGTACTTTATAATGGGGCATTTTGCTCTAGTTTACCTTTTCTCTAAAACTTCAGAATTCGAGAATATTGTATTTAATAATAATATATTTCAGCACAAACTCGACTCCTATGACGTGTTGTTTTAAAGCGGTTTTGTCAGAGACTTTTACATTAAAGATTAAAACAAAAAAAAATTTTTAAATTGTATTGCCCGATTGCACTGTGGGTGCCATTCCATTATTAGAACATGCGAGAAGGTTTAGGGGAGATCACTCCAACGTTTGAATACTACCACAACATGACGACAAACAAACGATCCAGACATACAAGACGAGGACAATGCCGGACATGACGACAATAACGAGGCTGTCAGGGGTGGCAGGTACCGAAGTCGTAGGGGCAGATGGTGGACCTACCGAGGTCGTAGGGGCAGATGATGGACCTACCGAAGTCGTAGGGGCAGATGATGGACCTACCAAAGTCGTAGGGGCAGATGATGGACCAGAGCCAAGTCCGACAGTCGAAGGCCTCCACCAGGTTGAGCGGGAAACCAAAGTTGGATCCGCCGATGACGAAGAGGATATCTCTGGGCAGACGTGGGGAAAACATGGCGCCGTCCACCTCGCTCATCTGCTGCTTCTGGAGCTGTAGCACCGACTCCATCACCTAATGCACACAGATGGCAGGGTTAATGGCAGGGTTAATGGCGGGGTTAATGGCAGGGTTAATAGCAGCTTCAATGGCGGGGTTAATGGCGGGGTTAATGGCAGGGTTAATGGCAGCTTCAATGGCGGGTTTAATGGCGGGGTTAATGGCGGGGTTAATGGAAGCTTCAATGGCGGGGTTAATGGCGGGGTTAATGGAAGCTTCAATGGCGGGGTTAATGGCAGGGCATAGTAATAACCGTTTCCTAACTCTTTACTCAAAATTCAAGGGAAGGCACTTTTATTAAGTTATTTATTTTTATTTTATAGAGTTGTCCCCCTTCGACTGTAGATTGCCAAATTTGTCAGTGATAAAGGGAATCTACTTTTATTTTATTAATAGTGTATAGTTTATTGAGTTGTTTCCCTTAGACCAGAAAATTTACCCGAAAAATACATCAAATTATTGACCGTAGTAATTATGATTACATAGTCATTACAAATACATAAAGGTAGGCCTATTCAAGATGCTAAAAACTTTTAAAACCTATTGCCCCAAAATTTGTTAGTTTTATATCGACAGTTTTACAGAAAATGTTTCTGAAAGTTGACAAAATAAAATTTGATTACTTACAGACTGAACTGAAATAATTATAATCTGATCAAGTTTTCATAATCTGACCAAATTCTAAAATAAGTTATTGAAAAATGATTTGGGTCTATCTTTTACAATTTAGTTTTTTTTCTAATGCTAAAAATATAGATCTAGATAATATTAAGCTAATAATAATATATAAGAATAAAAATTAAAAAGTTTCTCTCATACTCATTTGGCCTACTCATACAATTTAATGCTCATAATTATCATTGTAAAAATATGTGTGTTATTCTAGTTTTAGTTTTTGCGAATGTACCTAAATTTATTGAAGTCAGAGTTCAAATCCTGACTTACTTGTAGTGTGACTTTATTGAAGTCAGAGTTCAAATCCTGACTTACTTGTATTGTGACTTTATTGAAGTCAGAGTTCAAATCCTGACTTACTTGTAGTGTGACTTTATTGAAGTCAGAGTTCAAATCCTGACTTACTTGTAGTGTGACTTTATTGAAGTCAGAGTTTAGATCCTGACTTACTTGTAGTGTGACTTTATTGAAGTCAGAGTTCAGATCCTGACTTACTTGTAGTGTGACTTTATTGAAGTCAGAGTTCAGATCCTGACTTACTTGTAGTGTGACTTTATTGAAGTCAAGAGTTCAAATCCTGACTTACTTGTAGTGTGACTTTATTGAAGTCAGAGTTCAAATCCTGACTTACTTGTAGTGTGACTTTATTGAAGTCAGAGTTCAGATCCTGACTTACTTGTAGTGTGACTTTATTGAAGTCAGAGTTCAGATCCTGACTTACTTGTAGTGTGACTTTATTGAAGTCAGAGTTGAGATCGTTGGACAAGAGCCATGAGTCGACAAACTCGCCCATGTTCTCGGGCAGCATCAGACCAACCCTAGCACACGACACAAGTTCTGGGATATGTTCTGCAACACAACACATGACAAGTTCTGGGATATGTTCTGCAACACAACACGACACAAGTTCTGGGATATGTTCTGCAACACAACACATGACAAGTTCTGGGATATGTTCTGCAACACAACACGACACAAGTTCTGGGATATGTTCTGCAACACAACACATGACAAGTTCTGGGATATGTTCTGCAACACAACACATGACAAGTTCTGGGATATGTTCTGCAACACAACACATGACAAGTTCTGGGATATGTTCTGCAACACAACACATGACAAGTTCTCGGAAATATTCTGCAACCCAAATCATTCGAGGTGAAATAATAACCGGTAGCAAGGGTCAAGGTAGCATACAAGTGATAAGGTAGCAGGAAGCTACATGTAAAGTAGCAGATGGCTACATCTAAGATATCAGGGACTTACGCTGTCTGTCCGTGAGGTCAGCTGTCTGTCCGTGACGTCATCTGTCTGTCCGTGAGGTCAGCTGTCTGTCCGTGAGGTCAGCTGTCTGTCCGTGAGGTCAGCAGGACTTACGCTGTCTGTCCGTGAGGTCAGCTGTCTGTCCGTGAGGTCAGCTGTCTGTCCGTGAGGTCAGCTGTCTGTCCGTGAGGCCCGTGAGGTCAGCTGTCTATCCGTGACGTCAGCTGTCTGTCCGTGAGGTCAGCTGTCTGTCCGTGAGGTCAGCTGCCTGTCCGTGATGTCAGCTGTCTGTCCGTGATGTCAGCTGTCTGTCCGTGAGGTCAGCTGTCTGTCCGTGAGGTCAGCTGTCTGTCCGTGAGGTCAGCTGTCTGTCCGTGAGGTCAGCTGTCTGTCCGTGAGGTCCGTGAGGTCAGCTGTCTGTCCGTGAGGTCAGCTGTCTGTCCGTGAGGTCAGCTGTCTGTCCGTGAGGTCAGCTGTCTGTCCGTAAGGTCAGCTGTCTGTCCGTGAGGTCCGTGAGGTCAGCTGTCTGTCCGTGAGGTCAGCAGGACTTACGCTGTCTGTCCGTGATGTCAGCTGTCTGTCCGTGAGGTCCATGAGGTCAGCTGTCTGTCCGTGAGGTCCGTGAGGTCAGCTGCCTGTCCGTGAGGTCAGCTGTCTGTCCGTGAGGTCAGCTGTCTGTCCGTGAGGTCAGCTGTCTGTCCGTGAGGTCCGTGATGTCAGCTGTCTGTCCGTGAGGTCCGTGAGGTCAGCTGTCTGTCCGTGAGGTCAGCTGTCTGTCCGTGAGGTCCGTGAGGTCAGCTGTCTATCCGTGACGTCAGCTGTCTGTCCGTGAGGTCAGCTGTCTGTCCGTGACGTCAGCTGCCTGTCCGTGAGGTCAGCTGTCTGTCCGTGAGGTCAGCTGTCTGTCCGTGAGGTCAGCTGTCTGTCCGTGAGGTCCGTGAGGTCAGCTGTCTGTCCGTGAGGTCCGTGAGGTCAGCTGTCTGTCCGTGAGGTCAGCTGTCTGTCCGTGAGGTCCGTGAGGTCAGCTGTCTGTCCGTGAGGTCCGTGAGGTCAGCTGTCTGTCCGTGAGGTCCGTGAGGTCAGCTGTCTGTCCGTGAGGTCCGTGAGGTCAGCTGTCTGTCCGTGAGGTCAGCTGTCTGTCCGTGAGGTCAGCTGTCTGTCCGTGAGGTCAGCTGTCTGTCCGTGAGGTCCGTGAGGTCAGCTGTCTATCTGTGACGTCAGCTCTCTGTCCGTGAGGTCAGCTATCTGTCCGTGAGGTCAGCTGTCTGTCCGTGACGTCAGCTGCCTGTCCGTGAGGTCAGCTGTCTGTCCGTGAGGTCCGTGAGGTCAGCTGTCTGTCCGTGAGGTCCGTGAGGTCAGCTGTCTGTCCGTGAGGTCAGCTGTCTGTCCGTGATGTCAGCTGTCTGTCCGTGAGGTCCGTGAGGTCAGCTGTCTGTCCGTGAGGTCAGCTGTCTGTCCGTGAGGTCAGCTGTCTGTCCGTGAGGTCCGTGAGGTCAGCTGTCTATCTGTGACGTCAGCTGTCTGTCCGTGAGGTCAGCTGTCTGTCCGTGAGGTCAGCTGTCTGTCCGTGAGGTCCGTGAGGTCAGCTGTCTGTCCGTGAGGTCCGTGAGGTCAGCTGTCTGTCCGTGAGGTCAGCTGTCTGTCCGTGAGGTCATCTGTCTGTCCGTGAGGTCAGCTGTCTGTCCGTGAGGTCAGCTGCCTGTCCGTGAGGTCAGCTGTCTGTCCGTGAGGTCAGCTGCCTGTCCGTGAGGTCCGTGAGGTAAGCTGTCTGTCCGTGAGGTCAGCTGCCTGTCCGTGAGGTCAGCTGTCTGTCCGTGAGGTCAGCTGCCTGTCCGTGAGGTCCGTGAGGTAAGCTGTCTGTCCGTGAGGTCAGCTGTCTGTCCGTGAGGTCAGCTGCCTGTCCGTTAGGTCAGCTGTCTGTCCGTGAGGTCCGTGAGGTCAGCTGTCCGTCCGTTAGGTCAGCTGTCTGTCCGTGAGGTCAGCTGTCTGTCCGTGGGGTCAGCTGTCTGTCCGTGAGGTCAGCTGTCTGTCCGTCAGGTCCGTGATGTCAGCTGTCTGTCCGTGAGGTCAGCTGTCTGTCCGTGAGGTCAGCTGCCTGTCCGTGATGTCAGCTGTCTGTCCGTGATGTCAGCTGTCTGTCCGTGAGGTCAGCTGTCTGTCCGTGAGGTCAGCTGTCTGTCCGTGAGGTCAGCTGTCTGTCCGTGAGGTCAGCTGTCTGTCCGTGAGGTCAGCTGTCTGTCCGTAAGGTCAGCTGTCTGTCCGTGAGGTCCGTGAGGTCAGCTGTCTGTCCGTGAGGTCAGCAGGACTTACGCTGTCTGTCCGTGATGTCAGCTGTCTGTCCGTGAGGTCCGTGAGGTCAGCTGTCTGTCCGTGAGGTCCGTGAGGTCAGTTGCCTGTCCGTGAGGTCAGCTGTCTGTCCGTGGGGTCAGCTGTCTGTCCGTGAGGTCAGCTGTCTGTCCGTGAGGTCCGTGATGTCAGCTGTCTGTCCGTGAGGTCAGCTGTCTGTCCGTGAGGTCAGCTGCCTGTCCGTGATGTCAGCTGTCTGTCCGTGATGTCAGCTGTCTGTCCGTGAGGTCAGCTGTCTGTCCGTGAGGTCAGCTGTCTGTCCGTGAGGTCAGCTGTCTGTCCGTGAGGTCAGCTGTCTGTCCGTGAGGTCAGCTGTCTGTCCGTAAGGTCAGCTGTCTGTCCGTGAGGTCCGTGAGGTCAGCTGTCTGTCCGTGAGGTCAGCAGGACTTACGCTGTCTGTCCGTGATGTCAGCTGTCTGTCCGTGAGGTCCGTGAGGTCAGCTGTCTGTCCGTGAGGTCCGTGAGGTCAGCTGCCTGTCCGTGAGGTCCGTGAGGTCAGCTGTCTGTCCGTGAGGTCAGCTATCTGTCCGTGAGGTCAGCTGTCTGTCCGTGAGGTCCGTGATGTCAGCTGTCTGTCCGTGAGGTCCGTGAGGTCAGCTGTCTGTCCGTGAGGTCAGCAGGACTTACGCTGTCTGTCCGTGATGTCAGCTGCCTGTCCGTGAGGTCCGTGAGGTCAGCTGTCTGTCCGTGAGGTCCGTGAGGTCAGCTGTCTGTCCGTGAGGTCCGTGAGGTCAGCTGCCTGTCCGTGAGGTCCGTGAGGTCAGCTGTCTGTCCGTGAGGTCCGTGAGGTCAGCTGTCTGTCCGTGAGGTCAGTTGTCTGTCCGTGAGGTCAGCTGTCTGTCCGTGATGTCAGCTGTCTGTCCGTGAGGTCAGGAGGACTTACGCTGTCTGTCCGTGAGGTCAGTTGTCTGTCCGTGAGGTCAGCTGTCTGTCCGTGAGGTCAGCAGGACTTACGCTGTCTGTCCGTGAGGTCAGTTGTCTGTCCGTGAGGTCAGCTGTCTGTCCGTGATGTCAGCTGTCTGTCCGTGAGGTCCGTGAGGTCAGCTGTCTGTCCGTGAGGTCCGTGAGGTCAGCTGTCTGTCCGTGAGGTCAGTTGTCTGTCCGTGAGGTCAGCTGTCTGTCCGTGATGTCAGCTGTCTGTCCGTGAGGTCAGGAGGACTTACGCTGTCTGTCCGTGAGGTCAGTTGTCTGTCCGTGAGGTCAGCTGTCTGTCCGTGAGGTCAGCAGGACTTACGCTGTCTGTCCGTGAGGTCAGTTGTCTGTCCGTGAGGTCAGCTGTCTGTCCGTGATGTCAGCTGTCTGTCCGTGAGGTCAGCTGTCTGTCCGTGAGGTCAGTTGTCTGTCCGTGTGGTCAGCTGTCTGTCCGTGAGGTCAGCAGGACTTACGCTGTCTGTCCGTGAGGTCAGTTATCTGTCCGTGAGGTCAGCTGTCTATCCGTGAGGTCAGCAGGACTTACGCTGTCTGTCCGTGAGGTCAGTTGTCTGTCCGTGAGGTCAGCTGTCTGTCCGTGAGGTCAGCAGGACTTACGCTGTCTGTCCGTGAGGTCAGTTGTCTGTCCGTGAGGTCAGCTGTCTGTCCGTGAGGTCAGCAGGACTTACGCTGTCTGTCCGTGAGGTCAGCAGGACTTACGCTGTCTGTCCGTGAGGTCAGTTGTCTGTCCGTGAGGTCAGCTGTCTGTCCGTGAGGTCAGCAGGACTTACGCTGTTTGTCCGTGAGGTCAGCAGGACTTACCCTGTCTGTCCGTGATGTCAGCTGTCTGTCCGTGAGGTCAGCAGGACTTACCCTGTCTGTCCGTGATGTCAGCTGTCTGTCCGTGAGGTCAGCTGTCTGTCCATGAGGTCAGCTGTCTGTCCGTGAGGTCAGCTGTCTGTCCGTGAGGTCAGCAGGACTTACGCTGTCTGTCCGTGAGGTCAGCTGTCTATCCGTGAGGTCAGCAGGACTTACGCTGTCTGTCCGTGAGGTCAGCTGTCTATCCGTGAGGTCAGCAGGACTTACGCTGTCTGTCCGTGAGGTCAGCAGGACTTACGCTGTCTGTCCGTGAGGTCAGCTGTCTGTCCGTGAGGTCAGTTGTCTGTCCGTGAGGTCAGCTGTCTGTCCGTGAGGTCAGCAGGACTTACGCTGTCTGTCCGTGAGGTCAGTTATCTGTCCGTGAGGTCAGCTGTCTATCCGTGAGGTCAGCAGGACTTACGCTGTCTGTCCGTGAGGTCAGTTGTCTGTCCGTGAGGTCAGCTGTCTGTCCGTGAGGTCAGCAGGACTTACGCTGTCTGTCCGTGAGGTCAGTTGTCTGTCCGTGAGGTCAGCTGTCTGTCCGTGAGGTCAGCAGGACTTACGCTGTCTGTCCGTGAGGTCAGCAGGACTTACGCTGTCTGTCCGTGAGGTCAGTTGTCTGTCCGTGAGGTCAGCTGTCTGTCCGTGAGATCAGCAGGACTTACGCTGTTTGTCCGTGAGGTCAGCAGGACTTACCCTGTCTGTCCGTGATGTCAGCTGTCTGTCCGTGAGGTCAGCAGGACTTACCCTGTCTGTCCGTGATGTCAGCTGTCTGTCCGTGAGGTCAGCTGTCTGTCCATGAGGTCAGCTGTCTGTCCGTGAGGTCAGCTGTCTGTCCGTGAGGTCAGCAGGACTTACGCTGTCTGTCCGTGAGGTCAGCTGTCTATCCGTGAGGTCAGCAGGACTTACGCTGTCTGTCCGTGAGGTCAGCTGTCTATCCGTGAGGTCAGCAGGACTTACGCTGTCTGTCCGTGAGGTCAGCAGGACTTACGCTGTCTGTCCGTGAGGTCAGCTGTCTGTCCGTGAGGTCAGTTGTCTGTCCGTGAGGTCAGCTGTCTGTCCGTGAGGTCAGCAGGACTTACGCTGTCTGTCCGTGAGGTCAGTTATCTGTCCGTGAGGTCAGCTGTCTATCCGTGAGGTCAGCAGGACTTACGCTGTCTGTCCGTGAGGTCAGTTGTCTGTCCGTGAGGTCAGCTGTCTGTCCGTGAGGTCAGCAGGACTTACGCTGTCTGTCCGTGAGGTCAGTTGTCTGTCCGTGAGGTCAGCTGTCTGTCCGTGAGGTCAGCAGGACTTACGCTGTCTGTCCGTGAGGTCAGCAGGACTTACGCTGTCTGTCCGTGAGGTCAGTTGTCTGTCCGTGAGGTCAGCTGTCTGTCCGTGAGGTCAGCAGGACTTACGCTGTTTGTCCGTGAGGTCAGCAGGACTTACCCTGTCTGTCCGTGATGTCAGCTGTCTGTCCGTGAGGTCAGCAGGACTTACCCTGTCTGTCCGTGATGTCAGTTGTCTGTCCGTGAGGTCAGCTGTCTGTCCGTGATGTCAGCTGTCTATCCGTGAGGTCAGCAGGACTTACGCTGTCTGTCCGTGAGGTCAGTTGTCTGTCCGTGAGGTCAGCTGTCTGTCCGTGAGGTCAGCAGGACTTACGCTGTCTGTCCGTGAGGTCAGTTGTCTGTCCGTGAGGTCAGCTGTCTGTCCGTGAGGTCAGCTGTCTGTCCGTGAGGTCAGCAGGACTTACGCTGTCTGTCCGTGAGGTCAGCAGGACTTACGCTGTCTGTCCGTGAGGTCAGTTGTCTGTCCGTGAGGTCAGCTGTCTGTCCGTGAGGTCAGCAGGACTTACGCTGTTTGTCCGTGAGGTCAGCAGGACTTACCCTGTCTGTCCGTGATGTCAGCTGTCTGTCCGTGAGGTCAGCAGGACTTACCCTGTCTGTCCGTGATGTCAGCTGTCTGTCCGTGAGGTCAGCTGTCTGTCCATGAGGTCAGCTGTCTGTCCGTGAGGTCAGCTGTCTGTCCGTGAGGTCAGCAGGACTTACGCTGTCTGTCCGTGAGGTCAGCTGTCTATCCGTGAGGTCAGCAGGACTTACGCTGTCTGTCCGTGAGGTCAGCTGTCTATCCGTGAGGTCAGCAGGACTTACGCTGTCTGTCCGTGAGGTCAGCAGGACTTACGCTGTCTGTCCGTGAGGTCAGCTGTCTGTCCGTGAGGTCAGTTGTCTGTCCGTGAGGTCAGCTGTCTGTCCGTGAGGTCAGCAGGACTTACGCTGTCTGTCCGTGAGGTCAGTTATCTGTCCGTGAGGTCAGCTGTCTATCCGTGAGGTCAGCAGGACTTACGCTGTCTGTCCGTGAGGTCAGTTGTCTGTCCGTGAGGTCAGCTGTCTGTCCGTGAGGTCAGCAGGACTTACGCTGTCTGTCCGTGAGGTCAGTTGTCTGTCCGTGAGGTCAGCTGTCTGTCCGTGAGGTCAGCAGGACTTACGCTGTCTGTCCGTGAGGTCAGCAGGACTTACGCTGTCTGTCCGTGAGGTCAGTTGTCTGTCCGTGAGGTCAGCTGTCTGTCCGTGAGGTCAGCAGGACTTACGCTGTTTGTCCGTGAGGTCAGCAGGACTTACCCTGTCTGTCCGTGATGTCAGCTGTCTGTCCGTGAGGTCAGCAGGACTTACCCTGTCTGTCCGTGATGTCAGCTGTCTGTCCGTGAGGTCAGCTGTCTGTCCATGAGGTCAGCTGTCTGTCCGTGAGGTCAGCTGTCTGTCCGTGAGGTCAGCAGGACTTACGCTGTCTGTCCGTGAGGTCAGCTGTCTATCCGTGAGGTCAGCAGGACTTACGCTGTCTGTCCGTGAGGTCAGCTGTCTATCCGTGAGGTCAGCAGGACTTACGCTGTCTGTCCGTGAGGTCAGCAGGACTTACGCTGTCTGTCCGTGAGGTCCGCACTGACCCAGCGAATGATGGCGTCCAGCACGAGCTCCTCCTGTCTAGCGTTGAGCTGGTCAGCTCGCAGGATGTGGCTCAGCTCCTTACACGTTAAGCTCTCAAACTCAGGGCTCGTCTGTTGACATACATGTCACATGTGGCACACCCACACATGTCACATGTGAAACACCCACACAAGTCACATGTGGCACACCCACACAAGTCACATGTGGCACACCCACACAAGTCACATGTGGCACACCCACACAAGTCACATGTGGCACACCCACACAAGTCACATGTGGCACACCCACACAAGTCACATGTGGCACACCCACACAAGTCACACCCACACAAGTCACATGTGGCACACCCACACAAGTCACATGTGGCACACCCACACAAGTCACATGTGGCACACCCACACAAGTCACATGTGGCACACCCACACAAGTCACATGTGGCACACCCACACAAGTCACATGTGGCACACCCACACAAGTCACATGTGGCACACCCACACAAGTCACACCCACACAAGTCACATGTGGCACACCCACACAAGTCACATGTGGCACACCCACACAAGTCACATGTGGCACACCCACACAAGTCACATGTGGCACACACACAACTCACATGTGGCACACCCACACAACTCACATGTGGCACACCCACACAACTCACATGTGGCACACCCACACAACTCACATGTGGCACACCCACACAAGTCACATGTGGCACACCCACACAAGTCACATGTGGCACACCCACACAAGTCACATGTGGCACACCCACACAAGTCACATGTGGCACACACACAACTCACATGTGGCACACCCACACAACTCACATGTGGCACACCCACACAACTCACATGTGGCACACCCACACAACTCACATGTGGCACACCCACACAAGTCACATGTGGCACACCCACACAAGTCACATGTGGCACACCCACACAAGTCACATGTGGCACACCCACACAAGTCACATGTGGCATACCCACACAAGTCACATGTGGCACACACACACAACTCTCCTGTGGCTTATCCACACACCCACACAAGTCACATATGGCATAGCCACACACCCACACAAGTCTTATGTGGCACACCCACACATCCACACAAAAGGTCAACCTACTGTACCTGGAAGACCGCTGTAAAGTTGTCCAGAAGAAATTGTGTTCCCTGCTCCCTCACGTGATCACACTGGAAGAAATGGCTGGCGAACTTGACGATCGAGATGCAGTTGGCAACCGACAGTTCGCCCAACAGGAAGTCACAGCATTCTTTCAGCAGTGACGTCACCTGATAGGTCAAACAACACGTGACGTCATGGGTCAGTGTGATCCTACTATGGCTCACAGACTTGAAAGAAAAAAAAACCTACAAAGCTACCCTCGCATAATTAAGGCTATTGTTGTGAGTGTGGGTAATGAGTTCTGGTTATGGCGAATAATAAAGCTTAACATTTTAATTTTACTGTCAGTAAAAAAAATATGACACCATTGACATAGTTCTCTGGCTACTAGGCTACTATCCTGACATTTTTTCTAAGTAACCCCACTCAAGCAACAACCCTAACAGTACCACTCAGCCACGCCCTGACAGTAACACTCAGCCACGCCCTGACAGTACCCCTCAGCCACGCCCTGACAGCACCCCTCAGCCACGCCCCTGACAGCACCCCCCAGCCACGCCCCTGACCTGGAACCTGTCAGCAGCAGGCAGCAGCTGCTCGATGTTGTGGGCGGTGATCAGGACCTTGCCGCCATAGGCGTGTTCGATGATGTCATTCATCGTCTCGGGGTGCACGTCTTTGATGCTCACCTCGTAACAGGGGGACAGCACGCGCAACGATTCGCCCATCCCAGGGGCGGGGTATGGGTGAGATGACGTCATCGTTCTAACGGGTAAGGACGAGATGAAACAAATGTTGGTCACAAACTTGACTAATGCTACTTCAAACTATGAGGCAGTCTCAATAGTTCGGCGTAGCTGAAGGCCACGGGACAACAGAACTAGGGGACCGCGGCATGAAATAAGTGCTCAGGAGCAAGATGAGATAAATTGTATCGTGCCATATAAATAAAGTAAAATAAAGTTTTTGTCTACCTATGGTTTGAATTTGAAGGAAAAAATATTTTAGTCTGTCGTACGTTATAAAAAAAACCTTTTGATGCACCAAACAAAACAATTTTCTTACGTTTCCGGGGAACTGTGTGGGCACTGTGACGTCACACAGTAAGGGAGTCGGGCTGAGCAAGGGGAGAAAGCCGGTGTCATGCAGGATGTCGTGGTGTCATATGTCATACATGATGTCATTGTGTCATACGTGACTGAAGTCTCTGACGTGGAGACGTCCGTCGTTGAGCCGGTAATGGGCGTGCTGCATGTCACCTGTTGATGGCACAAGGCGGACAATCTGGTAATCTAGACAAAAGTTTTATCTGGCAAACTAGACAAATGTTTCATCTGGCAAGCTAGACAAATGTTTCATCTGGCAATCTAGACAAAAGTTTCATCTGGCAAGATGGATCAAATGTTTCATCTGGCAAGCTAGACAAATGTTTCATCTGGCAATCTAGACAAAAGTTTCATCTGGCAAGCTAGACAAAAGTTTGATCTGGTGATCTAGACAACAGTTTGATCTGGCAAGCTAGACAAATGTTTCATCTGGCAATCTAGACAAAAGTTTCATCTGGCAAGCTAGACAAAAGTTTGATCTGGTGATCTAGACAACAGTTTGATCTGGCAATCTAGACAAAAGTTTCATCTGGCAAGATGGATCAAATGTCTGTAAGTTTTATTTTATTTCAATATTTTGTCTTTATTTAATGTTAACCAAATCCCCCCCCCCCCCCACTTACCCACCAGTTCATGCCCCCCACCTACCCACCAGTTCATGACCCCCCACCAATTCATGCCCCCACCTACCCACCAGTTCATGACCCCCCGCCCCCCACTACCCACCAGTTCATGCCCCCCACCTACCCACCAGTTCATGAACCCCCCCCCCCACCTACCCACCAGTTCATGCCCCCCCCCCCACTACCCACCAGTTTATGCTTCCACCCCACCCCCCATCAGTTCATGCTCCCACCCCCCACCTACCCACCAGTTCATGACCCCCCCCCCCAACCAGTTAATGCCCCCCCACCTACCCACCAGTTCATGCCCCCCGCCCCCACTACCCACCAGTTCATGCCCCCCGCCCCCACTACCCACCAGTTCATGCCCCCCGCCCCCACTACCCACCAGTTCATGCCCCCCGCCCCCACCTACCCACCCAACTCATATCTCCCTGGCTCTGGTTGATGTTGAGCAAGCCCCCACCGTCTGGGTCAGTTATGGGCTGGGTGTCGCTGGACAGTTGAGAGGGGGAGGGCTGGCTGGACAGGGCTGGGTCATCTCGTCCCCTCAGGCCTGACCTCTCCATGATTGTAAAGAGAGCCCTGCCGAGAGAATGGTCACCACAAGTCATGCGTCACACGTCAAATGCCACATGTCATGCGTCACATGTCACATGTCATGCGTCACATGTCACGCGTCACATGTCACACGTCATGCGTCACATGTCACATGTCATGTGTCACATGTCATGTGTCACATGTCATGCGTCACATGTCACATGTCATGCGTCACATGTCACATGCCACGTGTCATAATGCAAGCGTCACATGTCACATGTCACAATAAATACGTCACATGTCACATGCCACGAGTATTGCGTCACATGTTAAGGATATATGCTCCGGGTTTTTTTCCTATTTTTTACTATTTCAGATCTAAAGCCTTTTGAATATTTTTTTTACCATGTTCGGAACATGAAGGTGAGAATAAAACAGCGACTAAAGGGTTGAAAACTATTTTGGTTGTCATGGAAACCAAAAAAAAACCTCCGCCATTTTGAATTTTTAGGTACTTTTAAGAAGCTAACGTTTTTTTTTTATTTATGCACTTACAGCAATCAAATTTAATTGGCTAATATTTCAGTATCTATTAACACTTTTGTCACGACAACTTTTTGAAATAGCTACTAGATCTAGATCTAGTAGGAATTTACAAGGTCTAAAAATCGTACCCTTTTTAGTATTCAAAAGTTTCAAAATGTGCATGTTATTTACCCTATTTTTTTTTCTATGAAAGCCATCACAATTCCCTCGTGACAAAAGTTCTATTTTTGTATGAAGAACAATAACTGGAAATATGGTGGGCATTGTTTAATAAATTTTTTTTTAAAAAGTAGGCTTTTCAGTGTTAAAAACCTACGAACTGAGAAAAACAGCAAAAAGTAACGAAAAGTAGGTCACGAAAATACCATATCTGTGTAAACAGCAAAGCCAATAGGGCTGATAAGTAGGTCGCCAACCATTTCTATGGCTCATGCAGGTTTTATTGAGCCGTAGAACTGGTTGGTGACCTACTTACCAGCCCTATTATAAGCTTTGGATGTTTCAAAGATTATGGAAATTAAGATTATCAAATAAATGAGAAATGCAGATTTCCAATGATGCCAAATACAATATGATGACGGATATAAAACTTTTCATAGAGAGTGTGTAAGATTGGGAAAAATTGATTATTTTTAGCGCAATTTCCATTCTGGAGAATTGCGTTTATTAACCCGTCATTTCTGGATGTATGAATGTATGAATGAATGGATGGATGGATGGATGTGTGTCCGCAGCTTTAAGTCGTATCTCCTCCTCAACGAAGCAATATCGATGACTAGTTCCAAAAGCAATCATGTTAAGCAAGTTACGAGGATGAACATAGGCCATCAAAATTCCGGGTTTCTTTCATGGATTTCCCGGAAAAGCCAAAAAACCTCGAAAAAAGCAGTTTTTGTCCCATATCTCGGCAACCAGACCACTTAGCGACTTGAAACATGTACCAATCGTTTCCTGCTATAATTTAGAACAATATTGCCGAAGAAAGTTTTCAAAAATATCCTTCCGTTTGGTCACAAACATTTTTTTGAATTAATTAAAATTTTGACCGAATTAGTAGGCATATTTATCCAACCAAACCACACGCGTCATCACGTTCAATAGCTGCGCCATCACGTTCAATGGCTGCGTCATCACGTTCAGTAGGCGCACAATGGTTTTTAGTCATATAACTCTATTGTAAATGAAACATGTAAAATACTGAAATTTTTTTTTAATAAAAAACGTTTTAATAACTAACCAATGGTTTTACTAACCCTGCTCTTGATTTACGCTACGACAGAGCTATTTTTAGATAACATAAGGAAATTGCGCTTAAATGTCACTAGACTTTTTAATTAACTTGTTTAATTAACAGCGTCATAAAAATGGTATTATAAACACATGACATTTTTTCTCATTAAAGTTATGTTTTTCTTAATACAGAAATGGACAAAGTATCTAAAAGTGCAAGAAACCGACTATGACGAAAAACCAGAATTTGGTGAGTTTTTTACGGAGCATATTCCCTTAAATGTCACATGATATGGGTCACATGTCTTTTGAGTTCCTGACGTCACCTACAGAATACATTATTAGAAACGATAGTGGTGTCTAGAAAATGTATGGCGTCCAAAAGCGATTATACTAAACTTGTGTGTGTGGGTGGGGGGATAAAGTATGACCTCAGACTGTTGCCAGGATTTTGTGCCTTGTGTTTTTTCACTAGACTTTGAATGAATGAATTGTGATGAAAATATCTAATTTTAGACCAAGTCAATCAAAACTTTAAACAGCGTCAAGGTAAACATTTATTAAGGGGGGGGGGCTGTGGTGTGAAATATGACGTCATTTCCGTCGGTCTGACATTGAGTATTGACGGGAGGGAGGAGGGAGCGTGACGTCATTACCGGAAGTATGGACTGGAACACGCCAGGATGTTGCGATGGACCGGAAATGTCACCTGACCGACACGGACGATTGCGTCAGAAAAATCTCCCGCCCTTCTGAGATGGGTGAAATCTCGAGTCATCCAACTGTGGATTAGGGTTAGTGTAAGACCGTGGATTAGGGTTAGTATAAGACCGTGGATTAGGGTTAGTGTAAGACCGTGGATTAGGGTTAGTGTAAGACCGTGGATTAGGGTTAGTGTAAGACCGTGGATTAGGGTTAGTGTAAGACCGTGGATTAGGGTTAGTGTAAGACCGTGGGTTAGGTTTAGAGTAAGACCGTGGATTAGGGTTAGTGTAAGACCGTGGATTAGGGTTAGTGTAAGACCGTGGATTAGGGTTAGTGTAAGACCGTGGATTAGGGTTAGTGTAAGACCGTGGATTAGGGTTCGAGAGGAATTATGAAGACGTATTCACTGAAGAATCGTTATAACTTGATACGATGAATATGATTTGTGGCTCCTTCAATTAATTAATTACAACAGCTTTAACGTGTGTAGTTATTAAAAGATCGATCATTCATCCCAATTAACTAACTTGTATGTGTATGTGTAACAGTAGTCCTACGCGCGTATATATATATATATATATATATATATATATATATATATATATATATATATATATATATATATATATATATATATATATCCTAGTAAATAATGTGGGGTACATATCGACGATCTTTTTTCTTCTTGAGCTAATGTGCTCGGATGCATCGCGAGAGGGGGGAGGGGGGAGATGGTACGGACCGCACAGGGTGACACCATTTCGGGGGTGACACCATGGCGAAAAATTGCAACATATATATTAGAAAAGTGCTCTTTGCCAGTTCAATTAATGATCAATACGAGTGAACACACCCGCATTAATAATTGACTATAGATAACCATCTTTACTATTAACTGTGCACACTATAAAGCTATCATCCGGGGGGGGGGGGTCACCAACTGACAAATTTAGAGAGGAATAAAGGCTTGTATGGTATTTTGATAAACAGATAATCAATCAACGACAGTGGAGGGGGTGACACCAAAATCTAATGACGTACGATAAAAACGACGCTTTTTCCGCATTAATTAATAGTTGGACTGTGCGCACAAATCAATGTCAATAGGCAAAATGGGAAGATGTCCCCAATTGCAACTATACATAGGCCTATGTAGAACTATATATATATATATATATATATATATATATATATATATATATATATATATATATATATATATATATATATATATATATATTTATATATATATGTGTGTGTGTGTGTGTGTGTGTGTATATAAAACAGGTCGTTTTCGGGGGGGGGGGGGGGGGGTTACACCATTAGGGTGACACCCGACCTTGCTACGCCAATGAATGTGTTTCTCTTCTAAGACTTACCGAACTGACACAGGTGAAGCAAGACTTACCGTACTGACCCAGGTGAAGCAGACTTACCGTACTGATCCAGGTGAAGCAGACTTACCTTACTGATCCAGGTGAAGCAGACTTACCGAACTGACCCAGGTGAAGCAAGACTTACCGTACTGACCCAGGTGAAGCAGACTTATCGTACTGATCCAGGTGAAGCAGACTTATCGTACTGACCCAGGTGAAGCAGACTTACCGTACTGATCCAGGTAAAGCAAGACTTACCGTACTGATCCATGTGAAGCAGACTTACCGTACTGATCCAGGTGAAGCAGACTTACCGTACTGATCCAGGTGAAGCAAGACTTACCGTACTGATCCAGGTGAAGCAAGACTTACCGTACTGATCCAGGTGAAGCAGACTTACCGTACTGATCCAGGTGAAGCAAGACTTACCGTACTGATCCAGGTAAAGCAAGACTTACCGTACTGATCCAGGTGAAGCAAGACTTACCGTACTGATCCAGGTGAAGCAAGACTTACCGTACTGATCCAGGTGAAGCAAGACTTACCGTACTGATCCAGGTGAAGCAAGACTTACCGTACTGATCCAGGTGAAGCAAGACTTACCGTACTGATCCAGGTGAAGCAGACTTACCGTAATGATCCAGGTGAAGCAGACTTACCGTACTGATCCAGGTGAAGCAGACTTACCGTACTGATCCAGGTGAAGCAGACTTACCGAACTGACCCAGGTGAAGCAAGACTTACCGTACTGATCCAGGTGAAGCAAGACTTACCGTACTGATCCAGGTGAAGCAAGACTTAACAAACTGATCCAGGTGAAGCAGACTTACCGTACTGATCCAGGTGAAGCAGACTTAGCGTACTGATCCAGGTGAAGCAGACTTACCGTACTGATCCAGGTAAAACGCTGTGTGGTGTTGTATGTCGACCCGGCTTGTAGAGGTCAAGCTGACCTGGCTGGGTCGGGGAACGATAGAGCAACGCTTCTTCCTCATCACTGGCTTGCATACCGCTCCAGGCTGCTCGTATAGAGGTGGGACATTGGTGACACGGGAATATTGGTGACACGAGAACGTTGGTGACACGGGAATATTGGTGACACGGGAACATTGGTGACACAGGAATATTGGTGACACGTGAATATTGGTGACACGGGAATATTGGTGATACAGGAATATTGGTGATACGGGAATATTGGTGACACGGGAATATTGATGACACGAGAATATTGGTGACACAGGAATATTGGTGATACAGGAATATTGGTGATACGGTAATATTGATGACACGGGAATATTGATGACACGGGAATATTGGTGACACAGGAATATTGGTGACACGTGAATATTGGTGACACGGGAATATTGGTGATACAGGAATATTGGTGATACGGGAATATTGATGACACGGGAATATTGGTGACACGGGAATATTGGTGATATGAGAACATTGGTGACACATGAAAATTGGTGAAACTAGAATATTGGTGTGGTAAAAACTCACCAATTAAAAGAGACCAAATGTAAATTTGACCAAAGGTTTCAAACCGTGACGTTTATTCACTGTCTGACCTTAACTTTGGAGCAACCATTCGGTGCCGGTTGAACTATTATGTAACAGCGCATGAACCTTTGTCTGAGGGAGCTCAAAGCAGGAGGCAGCACCAAAGGTGTGAACAAGTTAGTCACCAAAGGTGTGGACAAGTTAGTCACCAAAGGTGTGGACAAGTTAGTCACCAAGTCTGCCGGAAGTGACTTAGACAAACGGAAGTGCACACATAAAGGCACCGAAAAAATAAGATGCACAGCCGTGCGCAAGTGTACATGTTGAACAGACATAGAGTGGTGTGTTATGAAATCATATGTAGAGTGGTGTGTTATGAAATCAGATGTAGAGTGGTGTGTTTTGAAATCAGATGTAGAGTGGTGTGTTATGAAAGATGTAGAGTGTTGTGTTATGAAAGATGTAGCGTGGTGTGTTATGAAATCAGATATAGAGTGTTGTGTTATGAAATCATATGTAGAGTAGTGTGTTATGAAATCAGATGTAGAGTGGTGTGTTATGAAATCAGATGTAGAGTGGTGTGTTATGAAAGATGTCGAGTGGTGTGTTTTGAAATCAGATGTAGAGTGGTGTGTTATGAAAGATGTAGAGTGTTGTGTTATGAAAGATGTAGCGTGGTGTGTTATGAAATCAGATATAGAGTAGTGTGTTATGAAATCATATGTAGAGTGGTGTGTTATTAAATCATATGTAGAGTGGTGTGTTATGAAATCAGATGTAGAGTGGTGTGTTATGAAATCAGATGTAGCGTGGTGTGTTATGAAATCAGATATAGAGTAGTGTGTTATGAAATCAGATGTAGCGTGGTGTGTTATGAAATCAGATGTAGAGTGGTGTGTTATGAAATCAGATGTAGAGTGGTGTGTTTTGAAATCAGATGTAGAGTCGTGTGTTATGAAAGATGTAGAGTGTTGTGTTATGAAAGATGTAGCGTGGTGTGTTATGAAATCAGATATAGAGTAGTGTGTTATGAAATCATATGTAGAGTGGTGTGTTATGAAATCATATGTAGAGTGGTGTGTTATGAAATCAGATGTAGAGTGGTGTGTTATGAAATCAGATGTAGAGTGGTGTGTTATGAAATCAGATGTAGAGTGGTGTGTTATGAAATCAGATGTAGAGTGGTGTGTTATGAAATCAGATGTAGAGTGGTGTGTTATGAAATCAGATGTAGAGTGGTGTGTTATGAAATCAGATGTAGAGTGGTGTGTTATGAAAGATATAAAGGGCCTTATATATAGGCCTCTGTATATCAGCCTTTATTTAGGCCAATAGGTCTCTATATAAAGGCACTTCTATAGAGGCCTCTACGGCACACAGTTGATTAGTGCTGTAAACTATGGCTTTAAGGTGTCTCATCCATTGAAAACTTCATCTAGTTCTACTACAGTCTCTGTGTCTGTGGGGGGGGGGGGGGGATTAAAATTTAGACTATATTGCAAATGGAAGAGGCTATTCGGACTTGGGTCCTATAATAACCCCGGCCGCTATTCGGACACAGGCCCGAATAGATGCAGCCATCTATCTATATATGTAATTCTCTTCTTGGAGACGCAAGAAAACAAGCTGTTAGCGCGCTCCCTACCACCCCACCCCTAGATGGTCTGGTGAGCTGTGGTTCACGCTAAATGTTTACAATCGTAGAGCCGGGTTTAGTGACGGCTATAAGGGACAGATAGTTTAGTTTGAAACGATTTTAAACAGGGAGGTAACTAAGTCAAGAGAAGGCTGCTTTCACGGGGGGGGGGGGGGGATAGGGTAGGGGTAGTATCGTTCTTAACGACCTACTGATAGTGTTTTAAAGCAAATATTTTCAGTGGCAGCATTGGTACTGTCGAATTCACAAATTATGAATTACTGAAAAGTAGAAAATAAAACAACTAAATAGCGGCGTATGATATGCCGCAGGTCGGCTCGTTGGAAATATTATCAATAAAATGCATTTTCATAGTAAGCCTAATTTTAATTTAATTCGAACTTAACAGCTTAAATATACACTGATTTTCTAAAATATTGAAAAGTTATTGAGTCAAATATATTTAGATTTAGAATCTAGGTCTAGGTCTAAATATAATTGTAATCATTTTCAAGTTTGTTTAGGCTTAGGATGAAAGTTTCGCACTTTTCTAGTAAAAAGAAAACAGGAAAGCTCCTTAGTGATGCATAAACAATATGGCTTCGGACCAGACACAGTGGGAATACAATGATTGAATTTAATATATGTAGGCTTCTATAACCTAATGCATTTGGTTACATTTATTAGATACAACTGAAATATACATGTAAGAGACTAATAAACAGTAAGATTTTTTTTTATATTTGTCATTTTATCTTTGGTAAAAAAGTAAAATAGATCAGGATGGCTTCTAAAAAAAAAAACATTAAACAAGCTTGGTTGCAAGTAGATCTAGATCTAGTTGCAACTGATGAAAACATTACTAATCTTTTATTAAATTTATTACTGAAAATTTTGAATAAAATTGTTTAAAAACAGTTAGGCCTACATAAAACACTTTTAAAACATAAATCCTCATAAAAATGTGAAGTAATTAGGCCTACTAAAATGTAATGAGTCACCTTTCTTTCACACTGCCTCGGCCGATTTTAGTTTATATAGAGTGTTAGGCATTTTGACTTCCGCTGTTTTGATTCAGTATTCCACATCCGGACTTTTTGATGCAGTGTTTATAAAAACTCACCATTTTCCGAAGAATGCCAAACCTCACTGTTGGAATCGAGTTTTTAGAAATATTCAAAATAGATATTCTAGTGTAGTTGTATTATATGTTTTAAATAGAAAATTACCGCCATTATGACAATCTTAAAGCCAAAATCGATCGCACGATTCTAATGAGTTTATCTCGCGAACATGTCCCGTACGGTGCTGTCACATTTTAAATAAGTTTATGTATTAAACACATTATAAGTATCTTGCCATTAGCTTTAAGTGTCCATTAAATTAACAAATATTATTATAATAATGGTTTTATGGCGTTCACTACATCTGTTTACGAGTTATCATACATGTCGAATCCCAGAGCTAGTGCTTCGTTGTTGACAACGCCATGGCGTCGGTTTAGCACCGCATTACCTATTATCAATAAAATACGCGCACTAATGCCAATGGCGTAGTTTTCGAAGTTGGAAAGAATTTAATTGTGGGTGGCATTGTTTAAACTAGATGAAATACATTGATCAAGTTATCTATTAAAAAACGATAGGCAAGAAGCTTAGGTTTACATTAACTAGTGTCAAGCATTTCCCACATATCTACTTAGATTTAAGATACTTTATACTTATACATACTAATTATAAATAAGTTATAGGCCTATTTCTTAGTATGGCTAATGCTATATGTATCGATTGATAAAGTAAGTCTGGGCCTATTATTGGTTATGATAAGTAAAGAAGTGACACAACATGTACTGTATTGTGCTCATGCTATGCTCTAACAATTGTAGATGACGTGTGTAAATGACATGCAGTTGATATGAGTAGATAGTAGATACATGCAATGATTCAATCTATTTATATTGTTGCAGTCAACCATCCATGTCTCGGAGTGTTCCTTGGAGACGAGCCATGAGCGATGCTTGTAGTTGGCATCAGTCTCAAGCCCTCGAGTCCACCTTGTACATCCTAAGACAAACCGGGCCCACAGGCTTTCTGCTAAAGGAAGAGGAGGAGACCAAAAATGTTAAAGTATTTTTTATTTTATTTTAGTTTTTTTAAATTGTCAAGAAACTGGATCAATTATTAAGTAAAGAAATAAAAATAATTCATATAAACTTCTTTTTAAAAAATATTTAGCTTAATTAAGAAAAAAACAATCTTTTTGCATAAATGAAATACTCAAAAAATGTTTTTCAGAAAGTCTTTACTTTCATACTGAAAGTCATTACTTTGATAATATGATATTAATGGTTCAGGAAATAATTGCCAATGTGTCTGAAAAATGTATGTGTGGAATTTGTTGCAAATGTTTCAGGTATTTCTGGGAGATCCCCATACGTGTACGTGTCCTGTCTTCCAGAAGGAGAGAGACTTGTGCAAACATATCTGCTGGATACTCCTCAAAAAATTTCGCCTGTCTCTCAATGATCCATGTATGTACTATTTTCATTGACATGTAGATCTATATGATTGACATGTTGATTTATGAAAACAAAAATTTTCTTTTAACAAAATGGAATGTGAAACTTGACTACATGAGGTAAAATGTTGAGCATATGTACATATAAAATGTCCCATGTATGTGTATGTAAGATTTCAAACTTTGTACAGTATCATGGCAGCTAGGGCTCGTTGTAAGATTTCAAACTTTGTACAGTATCATGGCAGCTAGGACTCGTTGTAAGATTTCAAACTTTGTACAGTATCATGGCAGCTAGGGCTCGTTGAAAGAGAAATTAATGAGATCCTGCGGGGCAAAGTGACATCAGAGCAGCCGAGGTCAAGGCCAACAAAAGCCATCAGCAAGGCTAGTGAAATGTCTGAGGGGAGGGCTGTGGTTGACCAGAGGGAAATAGCAGACGGCGATGTCTGTCCCATCTGTCAGGATGAAATGTTGGTCAAAAAGTTACCCGTCACCTACTGCAAGTAGGTCATTTTGTTAACCTGTCCTAACATTTTGTTAACTTGTCCTAACATTTTGTTAACATGTTCTAACAACATTTTGTTAACCTGTCCTAACATTTTGTTAACTTGTCCTAACAACATTTTGTTAACCTGTCCTAACAACATTTTGTTAACCTGTCCTAACAACATTTTGTTAACCTGTCCTAACAACATTTTGTTAACCTGTCCTAACAACATTTTGTTAACCTGTCCTAACAACATTTTGTTAACCTGTCCTAACAACATTTTGTTAACCTGTCCTAACAACATTTTGTTAACCTGTCCTAACAACATTTTGTTAACCTGTCCTAACAACATTTTGTTAACATGTTCTAACAACATTTTGTTAACCTGTCCTAACAACATTTTGTTAACATTTTTGATACTGTTGTATCCAAATAGCAATGACTTCTAATCAATCCATTTCTTAATGGCTTATTTACTGAAATGTTAAAAAAAAGTAGACTTAGTTTAAACCTACCTTATGATGGCTTGGGGGGGGGGGGGGGGGGGCAGTAACAAGAGTAAATCAGGAGCAATGTCTGGATGTTATATAGACTGCATTGAATTTTCATGACTTCTAAACCTATCGCCAACCCTAACTCTAACCATAACACTAACCATAACACTAACCCTAACTCTAACCCTAACACTAACCCTAACTCTAAGTCTAACCCTAACTCTAACACTAACCCTTACTCTAACTCTAACCCTAACTCTAATCCTAACCCTAACTCTAATCCTAACCCTAACCCAAAGTTTTTGTCTCTTCCCAGATTTGGGTGTGGCAACAGTATACACATCAAATGTATGCAGGTCTGGGCTGAACATCAACTCAAGTCCTCTTCAGACGGGACCATAAAATGTCCTATGTGCCGAGAGGACTTTGGACCAATTGACCTTCTGAAGACCGAGATGAAAAATGCTGGCTGTACAAAGACATCAGCACCTGGCATCCGCATGGATCGACATGTCGGCATGACCTGTGCACATTGTAACATAGCTCCCATCGAAGGCAAATGTTACAGGTAAAACTTTTGTTACCAACAGGCCTACTATTTGTTTCAACATTTAAAATCTTAATGGTGTCAATCATTTGGATTTGAAACATGAATTAAATGTTTCAACTATAAGCTTTTTAAGCTAATTTAGTCAAAACATTTTAAAAATGTAATTAGCCTTTAATTTACTGTTGTATACCCTCAACCAGTCTGTAAACGTACAGTACAACCGGAAACCTACTCTATAACTGAAACCTACCACAACTGAAATCTGCCACATGAATGAAACCTACGTTATAACTAAAATCTACTCTATAGCTGGCTGAAACCTACTTTATAACTGAAACCTACTGTACAACTAAAACCTACCTTATAACTAAAACCTACCATCCCTAGATGCAGTGTCTGCCCCAACTACCTGATGTGTCAGAAATGTTTCAACCTCCCAGTCCACACAAACCACAGCTTCCACTTTAGACATGTAAGATTTTAGATTGGTTGTGATGACATGTAAGATTGTAGATTGGTTGTTCTGACATGTAAGATTGTAGATTGGTTGTTCTGACATGTAAGATTGTAGATTGGTTGTTCTGACATGTAAGATTGTAGATTGGTTGTGATGACATGTAAGATTGTAGATTGGTTGTGATGACATGTAAGATTGTAGATTGGTTGTGATGACATGTAAGATTGTAGATTGGTTGTGCTGACGTATAAGATTGTAGATTGGTTCTGATTACAATTAACATTGAAGATTAACTGTGATAACACATAAGATTGTAGATTAACTTACAATGGATCTAGCTGGCATATTCTGTTCAGACTTTAGTGTCTTGATGAAACTAGGTGATTTTTTTTTACCATATTTTAACAATAAACATTTAAAATAAATAAACAGGATTCAAACAAATACATTCAGCCTATCAGATCAATAGAAATAATGTGTCATATGCCATGATCTAAAAGCTCTGTTGAAAACAATGACGTTTTGATTTCAGAAACGCAATCAGAGATGGCGCCCTGCTCCCAGAACCTTGGGGAGTAGCCTCCCTCCAGCGCTGGTCAATGACCTGATGCATAGAGACCTCTCAGAGAACGACTATGATGTACTGCTGCAGCTCGAAAGGTCAAGCTTTGTGTATATCTAGGGGTCTTTGTATAACTAGGGGTCTTTGTATATCCAAGGGTCTTTGTATATCGAGGGGTCTTGGTCTATCTATGGGTTTCCATTCACATTTTATGTGGGCCATTAATTCTACTTCTTGCTCTTTGTTCTTAATTGTAATATTATATTGGACAGGATTTTCCTCCAACACAATTCAGTATTACCTGTCAACCTGTTAAGTGCCATATTGACCATTGACTGATTTAATCCTGATTTTGTTTCTGCATTCGCTCCCTTTGCCTTTGTCCATCTCAGATCAAACTACAGGGCAGTTTATTTAGGATTTTTTTTTCTCCTTGATGGGTTACTGCCCCCAGCTATCAGTTGTCTCTCCTAGATGGGTTGCCGTCCCCAGCTCTCCAGCCACGGTTAGCAACCATTAGCTTTACCAACCCCAGAAAAAACTGACCTCAGGCCATTAAATAATGGCATCGAATTTATCCACCCAACACGCCTCGCACCTTTAAAGTAGCCTGTCGCTTGACCTACTTTTTATACCGTCGTCATGGTAATGATGGCTGCCGAAGACGACGATACCGTAATTCGGTTTTTTTTTTTAAACAATTTTCATGGTCATTTCAGAAACATAATAGATCTACTTATAATTGTTATTATTGAGTATTTATAATCGTTGTAATCGTTATTTTTGAGTATTAGTCAACGATACCGATCTCGCTTTAACAATAAACGATTAGTGTTTGGTGCAAGCTTGCCATTTAGGCTTATACTTTTTTTTTGTCTAATCACTGAGAATATCGAGCAGAACATAATAAATATAAGCAAAACTGGAATTGCTTTATTTAATATTGTTGTAAACATACTCAAAATACTGTAAACTATAGAAAATTATATATTGCGTCCTACTAAACTAATTTAATTAATTTGAAGAAAATCATGTAGGATAAAAACAAAACCTTGATTGAGACAACAGCTAACTAAGCCCGCCCATTTTGACCGCCGCGTATTTGAATGGGGAGAAATCTAGCAGACGACACATTTCTGCTGAACGCGGTCAATCGCGTCACAACAACACTCCTTAAATAATAATCACGAGCCGGCCCGCGGCATAACATACGCCGCTATTTAGTTGTTTCTAATTTTCAATAATTCATAATTTGTGAATTCGACAGTACCAACGCTGACACTGAAAATATTTCTTTAAAACACTATAAGTAGCTCGTTAAGGACCATAACCCCCCCCCCCTTCCTTCCCTCCCCCCCCCTCCTCCCCCCCCCCTACGTTTAAAATCGTTGGCTCTGCTTGTAAACATTTAGAGTGAACACAGCTCACTAAAACCATGTAGGGGTGGGGAGGTAGGGAGAGCGTTTGCAGCTTGTTTTCTAACGGCTCGAAGAAGAGAATTATATATATAGATTAAAAAAGTTTTAAAAAACCCACGTTTTCTGATTGAACTAAAAAGTAGAAAATAAATACTATACATCACAATAATGCAAGCGATCACTCTACTATAAGCGATGAAAAACGTGGGGCGCCGTGATTTTCTTACAGTTTCTAATACTGTTGACTCTCTACAAGCTCCCTAATAAAAGTCAATAGCATTATCTAATCAATAGTAATATAACTTTTACTTCGGCGCCCCACGTTTTTCATCGCTTATAGTAGAGTGGTCGCTTGCATTATTGTGATGTATAGTATTTATTTTTTTACTTTTTAGTTCAATCAGAAAACGTGGGTTTTTAAAACTTTTTTAATGATTATTATTTTCTAATGGCTCGCAGAGGAGAATTATATATATAGATTATATAGCGGTCTAAAATGCTCAATAAAATGTTTCCATTGATCAATTTAGTAATAATAACAATTGAATATTCTATGGTCATCCAAAAGAAAGCTTCCCTGAAAATTTCAGCGCGCTAGCTAACTGGGAAGTGCCAGAAATTTCGATCGCAAGATTTGATTGGAAAAACAAACAGAGAAAGCAAGTTAAAGAAAACGTGGGAAAAAACTAACCCACCGTATCACTGAAAATCAGTCATTGTAGCCATTGAAAACAAACGCGTTTTTTCGCAAATCATTTTTTAAGCTACCAATTAAATTTGATAAATAAAATTGATATAAAATTAAAGGTAAATAAATGTAGGTTTTTGTTTAAGTCATCTTATACAATAATAAACTTTAAAATCTTAGGCGTCACCCTATATTAAAGTAGCAACCTTAGGCGTCACCCTATATTAAAGTAGCAACCTTAGGCGTCACCCTATATTAAAGTAGCAACCTTAGGCGTCACCCTATATTAAAGTAGCAACCTCCCCACCCCACCTCTCTACCTCTCTCTTCATCTTCATCTATTAAAATGGATTTTATCTTTAAACTGATTTTTAAAGTAACTGTTATGTAATGTTTAGCAACAGTTGTTGGTTTGTTTGTTGTTTTTTTTTTTTTTTTTTTGGGGGGGGGGGGGGTTGGGGGGTGGTGGAATTAGGAATACTTAATGCTTAAGATCTCAATCACAAGTCAGTAACCCCCCCCCCCCGCTCTGTTATTAAATAGGTTTCAAGGGCTAATAGCATATCAAATTATTTTTGGAATAATTGTAAAGACTTGGTCAAGAATAACAATTAGAAAACTTTCTGACTTTCTAAAACATATAGATCAATTTGTTATTATTTTTTTTACTGTGTGTTGGTGTGTGTTGGTATGTGTTAGTGTGTGTTGGTGTGTGTTGGTGTGTGTTGGTATGTGTTAGTGTGTGTTGGTGTGTGTTGGTATGTGTTGGTACGTGTTGTTTTTTAGCGCAATTTCCATTCTGGAGAATTGCGTTTATTAACTCGTCATTTCTGGGAATGGATGGATGGATGGATGGATGAATGTGTGTCCGGGCTTTAAGTCGTATCTCCTCCTCAACGAAGCAATATCGATGACTAGTTCCAAAAGCAATTATGTTAAGCAAGTTACGAGAATGAGCATAGGCCATAAAAATTCCGGGTTTCTTTCATGTATTTCCCGTAAAAGCCAAAAAACCTCGAAAAAATGCAGTTTTTGGCCCATATCTCGGCAACCAGACCACTTAGCGACTTGAAACATGTACCAATCGATTCCTGCCATAATTTAGAACAATATTGCCGAAGAAAGTTTTCAAAAATATCCTCTCGTTCGGTCACAAATTTTAAAATTACATAAACACCTACAAACCGATCGCTCTTCTAGCTTCAACGCACCCCATCATTATACGTCAGAGCTATTTTTAGATAAAATAAGGAAATTGCGCATAAATGTCACTAGACTTTTTTAATTAACTTGCGCGCCTACTGAACGTGATGGCGCAGCCATGGAACGCGATGACGCATCTATTGAACGTGATGACGCGTGTGGTGTGGTTGTATATACATGCCGGAAGTAGAGATCTATCATCTTAATGATTATCATGTTGATAATCAAGTTCAACTAATCAATGGTTTTAATAACCCTGCTCTTGATTTCAAGGTGCTTAGTTTAGTTAGTAGTTAGGTTTATTTAATAAAAAACGTTTTAATAACTAACCAATGGTTTTACTAACCCTGCTCTTGATTTACGCTACGACAGAGCTATTTTTAGATAACATAAGGAAATTGCGCTAAAATTGTCACTAGACTTTTTAATTAACTTGTTTTTTATTGTGTCCCTTTACGAAATTGAAAACTGAAAGACATTTCGAGTTTGAATTTTTCCAGATTTTATTTGTCTACATAAATCCTTGGCTGTAATTTCATGAGTTTGTTCTAACGTTTAAAACAACTTAATCATTGGCTGTAGTTTCATGAGTTTGTTCTAACGTTTAAAACAACTTAATCCTTGGCTGTAGTTTCATGAGTTTGTTCTAAAGTTTAAAACAACTTAATTCTTGGCTGTAGTTTCATGAGTTTGTTCTAACGTTTAAAACAACTTAATTCTTGGCTGTAGTTTCATGAGTTTGTTCTAACGTTTAAAACAACTTAATTCTTGGCTGTAATTTCATGAGTTTGTTCTAACGTTTAAAACAACTTAATTCTTGGCTGTAATTTCATGAGTTTGTTCTAAAGTTTAAAACAACTTAATTCTTGTCTGTAATTTCATGAGTTTGTTCTAACGTTTAAAACAACTTAAACAGAAACAGTGAGGGGAGAGAACTGAGCAACTTGACAGAGGAAGCTGTGCAGGCCATCCCGCTGGAGAAGGTCAGGGAGGGGGGGCCTCTGCTGGCCCTAGGGTCACAGTGTCGTGTGTGTCTTAGAGGCTTCTCAGCAGGCCAGTTTGTCCGCAAACTTCCGTGTCAGCATAAGGTACTCAAATTCGCTGCAGTCTTACAACGTTTTTAAACACAACAACATTGTAAACATGTTTTCTTACACCGTTTTTAAACCAAACAACATTGTAAACATGTTTTCTTACAACGTTTATAAACACAACAACATTGTAAACATGTTGTCTTACAACATTTTTAAACACAACATCGTAAACACGTTTTCTTACAACGTTTTTAAACCAAACAACATTGTAAACATGTTGTCTTACAACATTTTTAAACACAACATCGTAAACACGTTTTCTTACAACGTTTTTAAACCAAACAACATTGTAAACATGTTGTCTTACAATGTTTTTAAACACAACAACATTGTAAACATGTTTTCTTACACCGTTTTTAAACCAAACAACATTGTAAACATGTTGTCTTACAACGTTTTTAAACACAACAACATTGTAAACATGTTGTCTTACAACGTTTTTAAACACAACATTGTAAACATGTTGTCTTGCATTGTTTTTTAGGGTAGGTTAAGAGAGGCGTAGCGACCCCTCTCGGCACCCGGGCGAAGGTTCCATTTGCCCCCCCCCCCCCCCCTCTCCATACGAGCAACAAATCAGTCGCAGTCATAGTTTTGCACAATTTTTACCTCGCTTATTAGGTCTAGTGGCCTTAATTGTATGCACATTGCAGTATTAGGACTTGTTATAAAACAAGCAGTCAAAAAATGATCTATTCGATCTTAAAATTTCGGTAAAGAGTATCGCCTTCCACCCACCCGCTCCGACCGTATATTTTACTGATCGGATAGCGATACAATAATCTGTGATATTTATTTCCCTTTAATACAGTGATCCAGGCAGTTTGTAATGTAATTAAGTAAAAGTATCTGATCTCTCACTTTGAAGTTGAGAATCGTAAGAATCTTACAATTAACTAGTCGCTTCATTTCTTAACAAAACTAGCTTATGAATATGAAATCGTACGTTACGCATAGTACAATTGGTTTCTATTCTAAGTGTTAAACGATTTATCTACTCACCAATCCAGTACAAAACCTAGCGATTTTTGTCGGGAAAAAGCGCCCCCACCCCTCCCCCACCAAAGTTCGTAGACAGTAGCGTACGCAGGGGGGGAGCAGGGGGAGCGGCCGCTCCCCCTCTGGCCATTTTCAGCAAAGTGGCGCCTTTTTGGAAACTTTTTAAACTCAAAGTTTTAAACAATAATATTTGTAAAAAAAATATTTTTGGTCGGCACAACTATGTAAACCACAAGACTTCTTTTCATGCAGCAATTAAGCATTATTGTACTAGTCTAGTAGTGTCTATGTTTACAACACGTAGTAACAGCTGCATCAGTTTGCCATTCTAAAAAAAAAACATTACGATGCATTGCAATGTTTAAAAAACCTCTACGGGTAGTACCACCTGGCAAGAGGGGTGTAAAGTTAAAGTCAACTGTATAATGTATTTGCTTACGAATAATTGAATTAGAAAATGTTATACATAAAAGTTTCCCTTTCAAACCTGACGGTCTAAGGGGCAAGTGATGTAGAGTTCACTTGTTTCTGTGACCTCGGAGTATGAAGAGATAGTGTGGTCAGCACTAAGCCCCAGCCGCTTTTACTTTTCCTAACGTGAGTTAGGTACCCATCAGTTGGGTGGACTCAGGGACGGTCTGCTGACTTGAACCCGGATTCGAACTCGAGACTTACGGGTTAGCAGTCCAGCTCTCTACCGCTAGACCACTCCGTCCCCTATATACATAAAACTTCACACATAATTACTTTATATATACAGTTTGAATCGTGTGATTAATTAAAAAAAAAATTACAATATAGAAATAAATACAACTGATGCGGCACCTCTATTTAAATTTACTTATGAGCAAACTGAGTAGTGGTGGGGAAATTTTGACAAGGCCAACAACGTCATCACGATGAAGTATTAGTATTCTTACAGTTTGGGCGATATTGATTACGATTACAAATTATATGAAACAGTTACAACCCCCCCCCCCTCCCCCATGGACCCCTCTGTTAAAAATATTGTCATAATACCACTGCTACTTATTTAAATCTATTTCTGTAATATATATATTTGTGTAATATATATTTGTGTAATATATATGTATTTTTTGAACAGTCATCTAAAAACTTAAGCTATGTTCACTCTGAGTTGGTTATCTCCCCCCCCCCCCCCCACACACACACCTCACCACCACAATTGTGTAGAGCGACATTAATGTCACATCTAGGTATACACTGGGTTGGATAATTGACCTAACGTGACCGGACAGTGGTGAATGAAGTTGAACCCCCCCCCCCCCAAACTTATCTGTTAAGTACATGTAGAAAAACGCGTAATGATGCACCAAAGTACCATGCCGCCAGAAAATTGGCTTTTTAAACGTAAAACTCTTGTGAATATTGTTTTTGCAATTACCAGTGAAAAGGTGTGTGATCAATACAGTGATCTAACCCATACCTATCACTATGTTAAAAAATGATCTTTATAGAACAAAAAGAAGCAGTAGTTAGTTAAAAATATATGATCTGAACTAAGAGAGCGATATTTAGTTAAATGTAGGCTGTTATTCCGAATGTTTTTCCATTGTATCGAAAAGCGTGGTTTTATACCAACTCTGATTTTAAAAACTTTCATTATGCTGTAATACTTTAGCATTTATGATGACGATTTATTGAAGTCTGATTATAGACAAAAAATTTTTGTAAGCACGAATGGTGTTAAACAATTTTATTATATTCTAAAGTAATTATTTATTTGTTATGACATTTATAGTTAAATGTGTAGATATATACATATTTATATTAAGAGAGTAACTATTTGCCGTATTTCACTTGTCTTAAATAATTTCCCAGGAATTATTATGTAATAATTTTTTAAACAAGAATCACAAAACAGATTGTGTTACGTTCGTTGATTTTGGTTGTAGTGTGTGTATATTTTTTTTTTGTTTAGATTGATACAATTTTTGTTTTGTCGGCCTACATTGTGTGTTTTTTCTTATTTCTTCAGAGTGCTACTTTCAATTTATTTTACATCATAGCGAAGTAAAGACATACAGCTAATATATATATATATATATATATATATATATATATATATATATATATATATATATATATATATATATATATATATATATATATATATAATACACGTATATAGAACGTGTTAAAAATTCGGCGCCTTTTTTTGCTCTTTTCGCTCCCCCTACAACGAAAACCTGGATACGCCTCTGTTCGTAGACGCTAACTCTTTTTTTAATATTACTCAATCGTACAATACGTTTTAATACAATTGGTTTCTTTTATAAGTGGTAGTTTATCAAATCACCAATAAAGTGTAAATCCTTCCGATTTTGGTCGGCAAAAAAGCGCCTCCCCCCCCCCCCCCCCTCCTATCTAGGAAAAGCTGGAAAGCGTTTTTTGCGGTCACTTTCTTAAGGGTATATGTTTTTACACAATCAAGCCTAAAAACAGTTACATTAGTATGTTAGCGCCCGGAGCGACCGTCTACCCCCGCCTCCCCCCCCCCAAACTACGCCTCTGGTAGGTTACTTTCCCCCCCCCCTCCCCCCAACTCCTAAATAGGATAGTTATTTCAATTAAAATTGCATTGTTCAAGGAAATGATGTATGCTAAATGTTTCTCTCATTCTCTCTCTCTCTCTCTCTCATTCTCTCTCTCATTCTCTCTCTCGCTCTCTCTCACGCTCTCTCTGTAAAACTGTAACACCACACACCACATTGTGTCCCACACAGCTAACCCCCACATTGTGTCCCACACAGTTCCACAGAGAGTGCATAGATTCCTGGCTTCTCCACTCCCACCCCACCTGCCCTGTGGATGGCCTACCTGCACTCTCAGCACCAAGTACAAGAAGGTCAGTCTTGTTTGTCTGGTACTTAGGTCAGTCTGAAAATAAGGACTATTTTACCTGTGACTATTTTACCTGTGACTATTTTACCTGTGACTATTTTACCTGTGACTATTTTACCTGTGACTATTTTACCTGTGACTATTTTACCTGTGACTATTTTACCTGTGACTATTTTACCTGTGACTATTTTACCTGTGACTATTTTACCTGTGACTATTTTACCTGTGACTATTTTACCTGTGACTATTTTACCTGTGACTATTTTACCTGTGACTATTTTACCTGTGACTATTTTACCTGTGACTATTTTACCTGTGACTATTTTACCTGTGACTATTTTACCTGTGACTATTTTACCTGTGACTATTTTACCTGTGACTATTTTACCTGTGACTATTTCCTACAATTCTCCAGTCAAGCCAGACAATTTATCCAAGAAGAAGCCCCAGTGACGTCATCTGACCCCCAGGACATGGGTCTGGCAGCATATGGCATCGCTGTGTCAGCCCAGAGACCTGTCAGTGACAGAGTGACCACCAGACGGGTCACCACCAGGGAGCAGCACCAGCCGACAGGTGCCAGACTTGATGCTGACGTCACTCACCTGGACAGGTAGGCTGCTCATGTTCCAAACTCAACACAAATATCAATAGAAACCTACTTGAACCTACTAAAATATCAATAGAAACCTACTTGAACCTACTAAAATATCAATAGAAACCTACTTGAACCTACTAAAATATCAATAGAAACCTACTTGAACCTACTAAAATATCAATAGAAACCTACTTGAACCTACTAAAATATCAATAGAAACCTACTTGAACCTACTAAAATATCAATAGAAACCTATTTGAACCTACTAAAATATCAATAGTAACCTACTTGAACCTACTAAAATATCAATAGAAACCTACTTGAACCTACTAAAATATCAATAGTAACCTACTTGAACCTACTAAAATATCAATAGAAACCTACTTGAACCTACTAAAATATCAATAGAAACCTACTTGAACCTACTAAAATATCAATAGAAACCTACTTGAACCTCCTAAAATATCGCCTACTGTTGTTCTAAACCATTTGCCTATATGATGTTGATTCGACACTACCCTCTCTTCCCCCCCCCCCCCCACCCCGCCTCCCCGCCACCGTGTAAGCAGCCGTCCCTGAGTTTACGGACGACAATGAATAGGTCAAGCAGAACTTCTTACCTCCCCTTAGGTTCAAATCGTTTAAAAGCTAAATTATCTCCCCTAATGGCCGTTACTAATTTAACCCGGCTCTACAATTGTAAACATTCGGTGTGAACCTTAGCTCACCAGAATGGTGGGGGTGGTAGCTATATGCCTAGAGAGCGGGAAGTAACGGCGTGCGTTTACGTGGTGTCTCGCATGGTCCCCATGAAGAGAATTTATATATATATATATATATATATATATATATATATATATATATATATAGAGAGAGAGAGAGAGAGAGAGAGAGAGAGAGAGATTTCCGCGAAACATGGAAACATTTATGTGTTTTAGTATAATTAGTTTGTATTTGCAGTTTTCCGTTGCGCAGTTTTCTGGGAACCAAAAAGGTTTATTTATTCCGTTACTTTACTTGTATGTCAAATTGCTTGTATTCAAAATAATTTTCTTCCCTGAAACTAATTGAAAGGCTCTTAATATGTCCTATCCCAGAAAATGCCATTCACGTTTTTACTTTCTCGTATTCGAAGTATAGAGGAAGTATTGTAATCTTGCAAAAAAAAAAAGTAAAAATCTCGACGTTTTACACCACCTGAGTCGGAAAAACCGAGTTTTGCAATTTTTTCCGAATGTCTGTGTATGTTTGTATGTGTGTGTGTGTATATATATAATTGTGTGTGTCTGTGCACACAATAACTTGAGTACCGTTACAGCTAGGTTGATGAAATTTCATATATAGGTATAGATTCAAATTGTAGTTCTGTTTCAACTTTTTAGCGATTTCCGGTAACCGGAAGTGGAACTTATTCTACTTTCAATTTTTTCAAAAGCCTATAACTAGAGCACTGTTTCAGCTAGATAAATGAAATTTTACTTGTAAGTAAAAGATCTAATTCTCTGCCTTCTGTCAAATTTTGAGTAATTTCCGTTGACCGAAAGTAGTAATTTACGCTTTTTCCGATTTCTCAAAAAACAAATGTGAGTAGTAATTATATTCCGCACTATTATACACATATTGCGTGACGTTCACTCGGTGCGCAATTCTTTTTTCTTTGATATTATATTCTTATTTAAATTTTTAAATAATTAAAAATTGATTAAAAATCATGTCTATATCCCGAGTTGCTATCCCCAGTGGTGTTATATAAGAACATTCGAGAAAGTTTAGGGAAGATCACCCTCGGTTTATTACTAGTATTTTAAGATAAGTGTTTTTTTACATGACAATATTGTTTTTATAATAACGGATAGGGCAAAAAAATAAACTGGTTTATAGATTGTATTTACCTAGAAAATCAGCCGACTTGAGCTTACAGAAGATGCTGGTGGAGGTGTAGGCCCTGTGTAGGGTGGGGGAGATGGGCGGAGGAGCTTCACTTGGTTCCTTGCCCATTGTTAATGCTGAACTATTTCGCTCAGTTTCATTCACTTACATGTTAAGCTCTCAACGGCACAATTGATCCCAATTAATCCCAAAACTTAACAGAACTTCACTGAATGTAATTGAATCTAAATGCAACTCTATAATGTTCTGTTTCTTTCGCTTACTTGTTGTCACAAATTTTCTCCTGGCTGTTTTAGCCAGGGTTTCCCCACGTAACGTATCCACTCAGGCCGTTCAAATAAACCTTGCCAAGAGATTTCTCGGAGCCTGACTCAATGTTTTGGAACTGAGCTAACCACGTCTCATTAAATAGCTCAGATAGCTATCAGTTGCAACTTTTGGGGATGTTTTATTTCCACGAACTTTTAAAACCCGTGATCAGGTTACTCGTATCTCAAATTTTGCTCGTATATCAACAGCTCTTATCTAAAAAATATTTAGCTTGCTCAACTACTCGTATCTAAAAAATATTTAGCTTGCTCAACTACTCGTATCTAAAAAATATTTAGCTAGCTCAACTACTCGTATCTAAAAAATATTTAGCTTGCTCAACTACTCGTATCTAAAAAATATTTAGCTTGCTCAACTACTCGTATCTAAAAAATATTTAGCTTGCTCAACTACTCGTATCTAAAAAATATTTAGCTTGCTCAACTACTCGTATCTAAAAAAATATTTAGCTTGCTCAACTGCTCGTATCTAAAAAATATTTAGCTTGCTCAAGAGCTCGTATCTAAAAAATATTTAGCTTGCTCAACTACTCGTATCTAAAAAATATTTAGCTTGCTCAACTACTCGTATCTAAAAAATATTTAGCTTGCTCAACTACTCGTATCTAAAAAATATTTAGCTAGCTCAACAGCTCGTATCTCAAACATCTTGTATGTCCAGGCACTCGTATGTTGAGGTACCACTGTAACTAAAACTTACTTAGACCTGCATAAATTTTAACATAAACCTACTTAAACCTGCATAACTTTTAACATAAACCTACTTAAACCTGCATAACTTTTAACATAAACCTACTTAAATCTGCATAACTTTTAACATGAACCTACTTAAACCTGCATAACTTTTAACATAAACCTACTTAAACCTGCATAACTTTTAACATAAACCTACTTAAACCTGCATAACTTTTAACATAAACCTACTTAAATCTGCATAACTTTTAACATGAACCTACTTAAACCTGCATAACTTTTAACATAAACCTACTTAAACCTGCATAACTTTTAACATAAACCTACTTAAACGTACCAGAAATTTCTAGAAACACCAACTTGAATCTGGTGAATGATCCACTTATAAGTGTTGTGGTCAGTATGTTCTTAAGTCTATTACTTTTCTGGTCATCAAATCTAGCCAAGGTCAAAGAGTGACCTTGATGCCGGAACTGCGGCCACACAATGCTCTACAAGAAAAGAGAAAAGTGCCACTCAGAGGTCTGGGAAGGGGGTCAAGGTCACCAACGGATCCGTTTTCAAGGTCACCAACCGATCAGTTTCTGACGCCCAGATCTTTGATTCACATCTTACAGACGTCATCAGCTTTATCCACGCCTGCACATGACATGACGTCAGACACTCGGAGGTTCTCGGCTGGCTCCCTTACATCCACCGTCTCAGGTAAATGATTCCATTTAATACCTGGCTGGCTCCCTTACATCCACCGTCTCAGGTAAATGATTCCATTTAATATCTGGCTGGCTCCCTTACATCCACCGTCTCAGGTAAATGATTCCATTTAATACCTGGCTGGCTCCCTTACATCCACCGTCTCAGGTAAATGATTCCATTTAATACCTGGCTGGCTCCATTACATCCACCGTCTCAGGTAAATGATTCCATTTAATACCTGGCTGGCTCCATTACATCCACCGTCTCAGGTAAATGATTCCATTTAATACCTGGCTGGCTCCATTACATCCACCGTCTCAGGTAAATGATTCCATTTAATACCTGGCTGGCTCCATTACATCCACCGTCTCAGGTAAATGATTCCATTTAATACCTGGCTGGCTCCCTTACATCCACCGTCTCAGGTAAATGATTCCATTTAATACCTGGCTGGCTCCCTTACATCCACCGTCTCAGGTAAATGATTCCATTTAATACCTGGCTGGCTCCCTTACATCCACCGTCTCAGGTAAATGATTCCATTTAATACCTGGCTGGCTCCCTTACATCCACCGTCTCAGGTAAATGATTCCATTTAATACCTGGCTGGCTCCATTACATCCACCGTCTCAGGTAAATGATTCCATTTAATACCTGGCTGGCTCCCTTACATCCACCGTCTCAGGTAAATGATTCCATTTAATACCTGGCTGGCTCCATTACATCCACCGTCTCAGGTAAATGATTCCATTTAATACCTGGCTGGCTCCATTACATCCACCGTCTCAGGTAAATGATTCCATTTAATATCTGGCTGGCTCCATTACATCCACCGTCTCAGGTAAATGATTCCATTTAATACCTGGCTGGCTCCATTACATCCACCGTCTCAGGTAAATGATTCCATTTAATACCTGGCTGGCTCCATTACATCCACCGTCTCAGGTAAATGATTCCATTTAATACCTGGCTGGCTCCATTACATCCACCGTCTCAGGTAAATGATTCCATTTAATACCTGGCTGGCTCCATTACATCCACCGTCTCAGGTAAATGATTCCATTTAATACCTGGCTGGCTCCATTACATCCACCGTCTCAGGTAAATGATTCCATTTAATACCTGGCTGGCTCCATTACATCCACCGTCTCAGGTAAATGATTCCATTTAATACCTGGCTGGCTCCATTACATCCACCGTCTCAGGTAAATGATTCCATTTAATATCTGGCTGGCTCCATTACATCCACCGTCTCAGGTAAATGATTCCATTTAATATCTGGCTGGCTCCATTACATCCACCGTCTCAGGTAAATGATTCCATTTAATATCTGGCTGGCTCCATTACATCCATTACATCCACCGTCTCAGGTAAATGATTCCATTTAATACCTGGCTGGCTCCATTACATCCACCGTCTCAGGTAAATGATTCCATTTAATACCTGGCTGGCTCCATTACATCCACCATCTCAGGTAAATGATTCCATTTAATATCTGACTGGCTCCATTACATCCACCGTCTCCATTACATCCACCGTCTCAGGTAAATGATTCCATTTAATATCTGACTGGCTCCATTACATCCACCGTCTCCATTACATCCAACGTCTCAGGTAAATGATTCCATTTAATACCTGGCTGGCTCCATTACATCCACCATCTCAGGTAAATGATTCCATTTAATACCTGGCTGGCTCCATTACATCCACCATCTCAGGTAAATGATTCCATTTAATATCTGGCTGGCTCCATTACATCCACCGTCTCAGGTAAATGATTCCATTTAATACCTGGCTGGCTCCATTACATCCACCATCTCAGGTAAATGATTCCATTTAATATCTGGCTGGCTCCATTACATCCACCCTCAGGTAAATGATTCCATTTAATATCTGGCTGGCTCCATTACATCCACCGTCTCCATTACATCCACCATCTCAGGTAAATGATTCCATTTAATATCTGGCTGGTTTCCCTCCTCCACATCTACACCCCCACACCTACACTTCCCTCCCTAACATCTACACCCCCACCCCCACACCTACACTTCCCTCCCTAACATCTACACCCCCACCCCCAACCCCACATCTACACTTCCCTCCACACACAACTACGCTCCTCCCCCACATTGTACTGATTTGACCCCTCGTCCACATGGTACCACGTGTACACCTCGTCTATTATTAAAAGTGGACATTTCTTCCACCCCCCACCCCATTCCCCTTCACACCCACACCCAACCCCCCCCCCCACCCCATTCCCCTTCACACCCACACCCACCCCCCCACCCCATTCCCCTTCACACCCACACCCATCTTTCGTTGATTGAGCCTTTGATCAGGACGCACTAAGGTGTCGCCCTACCACTGACCCACCTAATGATTCCATTTAATTTGTCGCCCTACCACTGACCCACCTAATGATTCCATTTAATTTGTCGCCCTACCACTGACCCACCTAATGATTCCATTTAATTTGTCGCCCTACCACTGACCCACCTAATGATTCCATTTAATTTGTCGCCCTACCACTGACCCACCTAATGATTCCATTTAATTTGTCGCCCTACCACTGACCCACCTAATGATTCCATTTAATTTGTCGCCATACCACTGACCCACCTAATGATTCCATTTAATTTGTCGCCCTACCACTGACCCACCTAATGATTCCATTTAATTTGTCGCCCTACCACTGACCCACCTAATGATTCCATTTAATTTGTCGCCCTACCACTGACCCACCTAATGATTCCATTTAATTTGTCGCCCTACCACTGACCCACCTAATGATTCCATTTAATTTGTCGCCCTACCACTGACCCACCTAATGATTCCATTTAATTTGTCGCCCTACCACTGACCCACCTAATGATTCCATTTAATTTGTCGCCCTACCACTGACCCACCTAATGATTCCATTAATTTGTCGCCCTACCACTGACCCACCTAATGATTCCATTTAATTTGTCGCCCTACCACTGACCCACCTAATGATTCCATTTAATTTGTCGCCCTACCACTGACCCACCTAATGATTCCATTTAATTTGTCGCCCTACCACTGACCCACCTAATGATTCCATTTAATTTGTCGCCCTACCACTGACCCACCTAATGATTCCATTTAATTTGTCGCCCTACCACTGACCCACCTAATGATTCCATTTAATTTGTCGCCCTACCACTGACCCACCTAATGATTCCATTAATTTGTCGCCCTACCACTGACCCACCTAATGATTCCATTTAATTTGTCGCCCTACCACTGACCCACCTAATGATTCCATTTCATTTGTCGCCCTACCACTGACCCACCTAATGATTCCATTTAATTTGTCGCCCTACCACTGACCCACCTAATGATTCCATTTAATTTGTCGCCCTACCACTGACCCACCTAATGATTCCATTTAATTTGTCGCCCTACCACTGACCCACCTAATGATTCCATTTAATTTGTCGCCCTACCACTGACCCACCTAATGATTCCATTTAATTTGTCGCCCTACCACTGACCCACCTAATGATTCCATTTAATTTGTCGCCATACCACTGACCCACCTAATGATTCCATTTAATTTGTCGCCCTACCACTGACCCACCTAATGATTCCATTTAATTTGTCGCCCTACCACTGACCCACCTAATGATTCCATTTAATTTGTCGCCCTACCACTGACCCACCTAATGATTCCATTTAATTTGTCGCCCTACCACTGACCCACCTAATGATTCCATTTAATTTGTCGCCCTACCACTGACCCACCTAATGATTCCATTTAATTTGTCGCCCTTCCACTGACCCACCTAATGATTCCATTTAATTTGTTGCCCTACCACTGACCCACCTAATGATTCCATTTAATTTGTCGCCCTAACACTGACCCACCTAATGATTCCATTTAATTTGTCGCCCTTCCACTGACCCACCTAATGATTCCATTTAATTTGTCGCCCTACCACTGACCCACCTAATGATTCCATTTAATTTGTCGCCCTACCACTGACCCACCTAATGATTCCATTAATTTGTCGCCCTACCACTGACCCACCTAATGATTCCATTTAATTTGTCGCCCTACCACTGACCCACCTAATGATTCCATTTCATTTGTCGCCCTACCACTGACCCACCTAATGATTCCATTTCATTTGTCGCCCTACCACTGACCCACCTAATGATTCCATTTAATTTGTCGCCCTACCACTGACCCACCTAATGATTCCATTTAATTTGTCGCCCTACCACTGACCCACCTAATGATTCCATTTAATTTGTCGCCCTACCACTGACCCACCTAATGATTCCATTTAATATGTCGCCCTACCACTGACCCACCTAATGATTCCATTTAATTTGTCGCCCTACCACTGACCCACCTAATGATTCCATTTAATTTGTCGCCCTACCACTGACCCACCTAATGATTCCATTTAATTTGTCGCCCTACCACTGACCCACCTAATGATTCCATTTAATTTGTCGCCCTACCACTGACCCACCTAATGATTCCATTTAATATGTCGCCCTACCACTGACCCACCTAATGATTCCATTTAATTTGTCGCCCTACCACTGACCCACCTAATGATTCCATTTAATCTGTCGCCCTACCACTGACCCACCTAATGATTCCATTTAATTTGTCGCCCTACCACTGACCCACCTAATGATTCCATTTAATTTGTCGCCCTACCACTGACCCACCTAATGATTCCATTTAATTTGTCGCCCTACCACTGACCCACCTAATGATTCCATTTAATTTGTCGCCCTACCACTGACCCACCTAATGATTCCATTTAATTTGTCGCCCTACCACTGACCCACCTAATGATTCCATTTAATTTGTCGCCCTACCACTGACCCACCTAATGATTCCATTTAATTTGTCGCCCTACCACTGACCCACCTAATGATTCCATTTAATTTGTCGCCCTACCACTGACCCACCTAATGATTCCATTTAATTTGTCGCCCTACCACTGACCCACCTAATGATTCCATTTAATTTGTCGCCATACCACTGACCCACCTAATGATTCCATTTAATTTGTCGCCCTACCACTGACCCACCTAATGATTCCATTTAATTTGTCGCCCTACCACTGACCCACCTAATGATTCCATTTAATTTGTCGCCCTACCACTGACCCACCTAATGATTCCATTTAATTTGTCGCCCTTCCACTGAACCACCTAATGATTCCATTTAATTTGTCGCCCTACCACTGACCCACCTAATGATTCCATTTAATTTGTCGCCCTACCACTGACCCACCTAATGATTCCATTTAATTTGTCGCCCTACCACTGACCCACCTAATGATTCCATTTAATTTGTCACCCTACCACTGACCCACCTAATGATTCCATTTAATTTGTCACCCTACCACTGACCCACCTAATGATTCCATTTAATTTGTCGCCCTACCACTAACCCACCTAATGATTCCATTTAATTTGTCGCCCTACCAGTGACCCACCTAATGATTCCATTTAATCTGTCGCCCTACCACTGACCCACCTAATGATTCCATTTAATTTGTCACCCTACCACTGACCCACCTAATGATTCCATTTAATTTGTCGCCCTACCACTGACCCACCTAATGATTCCATTTAATATCCGGGCGGTCCCTCACAATAGCAGATCATATTTTAGCTAAATGGATTGACCGGAGGAAGAAAGATTTTTCTAATAATAGAAACGGCATGCTAATTAAATTAGAATTAGATTGGCGCTGATTGTAAAAATATTAGAAGAGGATGAAATTAATGGACGTCTAATGAGTTGTTTAAACAAAGATTTAATTGCTGTAACGATTTAATGTTTCATGACACTCAGGTTCGACGGGGCTTCCATTGGTATCTTATACAGCATAAAACATCTGACACAGTGGCCAGCATAAAACATCTGACACAGTGGTCAGTATAAAACATCTGACACAGTGGCCAGCATAAAACATCTGACCCAGTGGCCAGCATAAAACAACTGACACAGTGGTCATAATAAAACATCTGACACAGTGGTCATAATAAAACATCTGACACAGTGGCCAGCATAAAACATCTGACACAGTGGCCATCATAAAACATCTGACACAGTGGCCATAATAAAACATCTGACACAGTGGCCAGCATAAAACATCTGACACAGTGGCCAGCATAAAACATCTGACACAGTGGCCATCATAAAACATCTGACACAGTGGCCATAATAAAACATCTGACACAGTGGTCATAATAAAACAATGGCCATCTGACCCAGTGGCCAGCATAAAACAGTTCAGCAGTTTAATTTACCAGCTAATGGTACAAAAGTCTGATGTTGTTGCACCGAGCCTGGTCTAAAAATAGCCCAGGTTGTCGGTGCACGAAAGTGATCGGTGACGCACTGTTTGGTGTGGACTATTTATAGTTCGCTTTTGTCCTGAGCTTTTACAGAAATTATTATTTTTAAAATTTCGTCTTCCAGATTTAGCTGTATTATTGACGATAGTTTTAGACTATTTGAATCGATAAAAAACAAGAAGTTTTGAGACTTGAAAGATTTACTGCCTGATTTTTCTGATTTTCTTGTAGAACCTGCTCAAACCAATTGACAAGAGTAACAATAGTTTCAAACTCCCGTGATAAAAAGGTTTCGTGATTGTGGAAGTTTTAAAATCTCATTGTAACAAACGTTTTAAAATCTCATTGTAACAAACGTTTTAAAATATCGTTGTAAGGAAAGTTTCAAAATTTGTTGATAACAGACATCGAGCAAAGTCCATAAAACAAAACTGAAAAGAAGCGGTGCGCTGTGAAAAGGTGTCCGGTCATAAACCCCTGGACATAAACCCCTGGACATAAACCCCTGGACATAAACCCCTGGACATAAACCCCCCGCGACACGAACCTCCTGGAACTGCAATTTTGAGGGGGATTGTAGACTAGGGTGTGACATCATTTTAGTGGGGGGGGGGCTTTTTGTGACGATGTGTGACGGGGGGGGAGGTAAAAATCGTCAAAAAGCGTGACATCATTTATTGATGACCCCTTGGGGGGAAATTTCCGATAATTTATTAAAGGCTTAACTAATGTGTTCATGGCTACACAAAACACAGGGAGCATTCTGAGCTTGAGAGCAACTGTGTTGGTAAAGTTGTTGAAGACCAGGGTCCTGTATTTTTTTGTATAAGTTTTGGCTAAAACTAAAATGGAAAAAGCATCGTTTATCTCACAGTCTGGAAAAACCCTTTCAACACTTTTTATCACAGCCTTTTCAAAGTCAATCATAATAGAAATTGGTTGCAGGTTTGTATTCATGACCGTTAGTTGCTGCAAGAGTACTGTGTAGGTTTCCTGTGTTTTGTTGTGAAGTAAAGCATAAACACATGGAACAGTCCGTCCATTGACCAATGCATGGACTGTGTACAGTTGTGAAACAATGCAGGAGCTGTTTTAAATGTACCATCTATAAAGCAGTGCTGATTAACCTCCAATAACCTAAGGTTGTCCTCAAGCTCCAAACAAAAACAAGCTACTTTTGACGCGGCACCAGAATCGTTAGTCGTTAAAAATTACATTAATTTTATTTATTTTTATTTTTTTTGGTTTTCATCATCGTTATTATTTCCTTATATAAACCACAGTCGGGGGGGGGGTATTATCCATGGGGTTATGTCGCGGGTGGTTTTTGTCCAGGGGGGTTTATGTCGGGGGGTTTATGTCCAGGGAGTTTTGACCGGGAGCCCTGTGAAAATGTGCCCAGATGGTTTTTGTCCGAAAAGTTCTTACCTGAATTTAAAAAAAAAAGTTTCAAGCCAATTTTCTTAGGCATCTTGTGTCAGTCATCTTGTGTCAGTCATCTTGTGTCAGTCATCTTGTGTCAGGCATCTTGTGTCAGTCATCTTGTGTCAGGCATCTTGTGTCAGGCATCTTGTGTCAGCCATCTTGTGTCAGGCATCTTGTGTCAGGCATCTTGTGTCAGTCATCTTGTGTCAGGCATCTTGTGTCAGGCATCTTGTGTCAGCCATCTTGTGTCAGGCATCTTGTGTCAGGCATCTTGTGTCAGGCAGATGTAAAACATCGAGTGCAACTTACTGTGTTAAAGTTGGTGAGAGGCGTTGATGTTGTTGAACCTATTTTATTTGAACAATTCCTTTTTTCAGCAGATTTAGGCAGAAGTGATAGAGGTCAAGGTCGCCGTGCACCTTTGGGCAGACGACAACTCAGCTTAGAGCGTGTGGCGCCATCTATCCGTGACTTGCGCAGGGTGAGGTTATATCTGGACAAACTTGGCTTTACTAAGTAACATGGCTTGGTGCTGCACATAGTGTGCTGCACATTGTGGTGCTGCACATTGTGGTGCTGCACATTGTGGTGCTGCACATTGTGGTGCTGCACATTGTGGTGCTGCACATTGTGGTGCTGGCTATAGTATTTGAAGTCATGACATAAAATTGTATGTTTAATTGTATGACAGACATGGCGTGACTGGCATCATTCAAACTCTTCTGTTGTACGCAGGAGTACATGGATCTGTTTCTCGGCCACAACCCCCTGACCCACCCTCCTGTCAGTGAGACCCACCCTCCTGTCCGCGAGACCCACCCTCCTGTATGCCAGGACCAGATGAGAGCTGCCCTGCCACCCAGACCCCGGCTGTTCAAACCCTCCACACTCCGACGTCTTCCGCCCCTCGCTAGACAACCAGCCAAGTCAGCCATCAGACTTGTGGGCAGCCGACTAGAGGACAGCCGACTAGAGTGCAGCCGACTAGAGGACAGCCGACTAGAGGACAGCCGACTAAAGGACAGCCGACTAGAGGACAGCCGACTAGAGGACAGCCGATTGCAGGACAGCCGATTGCAGCACCCGGGGTCACTAGTGGCGGACACCAGCAAACCACACAGTGAGCCCGTCACCGCCAATGACTGTGAGATTGAGACACACCACCAGGTTGACACCACTGTATAAACCACCAGATAAACACCACTGTACAACACCACTGCGTGACACCATTGTGACACCACCAGACAGACACCACTATGTGACACCACCAGACAAACACCACTATGTGACACCACCAGACAAACACCACTTTATGATAGTCTCACCATCCCAGGCCATAAGCACTGCCTGTGTCACAAAAACTAGTGTGAAATTAAAGATGAGAATTGTATTGGAGTTGTATTAGGTGAGAGTTTGATTGGAGTTGTATTAGGTGAGAGTTTGATTGAAGTTGTATTAGTTTATTGTAAAAACATATCTTAATATTATACAACTGCTTTATAGCGTGTTTTGTTTGGTTCTATTTATGTGACGTCAGATTGCAGAAAACCTCAATGCGCCACCTGTTGGAGGCCATGGTCGGCTGGTTGCGAATACGATTCTTAACACGAAGGTCTCGTTCGTATCCCGAGTCTCTGAGTCCACGCAGCTCTAATTGGTACCTGACTAACACGATCTTTTCTTATGCCCCGCTCAGAGATACAGACCCCTTGGACCTCAGGTTGGAAAGGGAAATTATTGTTTCTCCTCTAAAGCCTGCGATTAAGTCTTGAATTGGAAGCTCTAGACCGCGGGTTCCCAAACTGGGTCGCGACCCCCAGGGGGACCGCGAAGGGCTTTTTGGGGGGTCGCCAACTGGTTGACTAAACCTTAGCAATGAAAAACAAAACATAAATATTTAGAAGAATATCTGAAATTCGGCTTTACTAGCATCACTGGAAATGAGAAGAAACAATGCGTATTGTACAAAGTTGTTCTCAGTCAGTCTATGAAACCTTCAAAACTAAAACATCATTTGAGTTCGTTTTTGTAGTTGCTTGTCTTTGTAAAATTTATGCATTCAGATGATAGCCAAGAAGAGTCGCTATCTTGTGAAGATATCACAGAGAAAATATATACGTTTTTTTTAAAAAAAACTCGATGATTAGAATATTGAATAATTATCATTAAAAAAGTTTTAAAAAACCCACGTTTTCTGATTGAACTAAAAAGTAGAAAATAAATGCTATACATTACAATAATGCAAGCGATCACTCTACTATAAGCGATGAAAAACGTGGGGCGCCGAAGTAAAAGTTTTTTATCGGTCATTGTTAATATAAGATATAAAAGTTATATTACTATTGATTAGATAATACTATTGAGTTTTATTAGGGAGCTTGTAGACAGTCAACAGTATTAGAAACTGTAAGAAAATCACGGCGCCCCACTTTTTAGTTCAATCAGAAAACGTGGGTTTTTAAAAACTTTTTTTATGATAATTATTTTCTACTTTTTAGTCTTTGTCTGTTTGTTTGCATTCAAATTTTGCTATCGATTTGATCTTCTCGCATTCACTTTTTTTGGGTAAACGAAGACAACTCGTAAAAAACACGTGCCTTTTCCAATCGACGTTTCTTCTGTGTTAGATTTGCATAGGTTTGTACACAAACACCGCGTGACCACTACTCAGTAAGCCAAAAGAGGGAGAGTACCGAACCTTGTTTTCATCAAATTACAATTACTAGGTTGTGTCCCTTTTTTGAAAAAATATATAGGGTCTAAAATGATCAATAAAAATTTTCCATGGATCAATTAAGTAATAATAACAATTAAATATTCTATTGTCATCGGAAACAAAGCTTTCCTGAAAATTTCAGCGCGCTAGCTAACTGAGAAGTGCCCGAAATTTCGATCGCAAGATTTGATTGGAGAACCAAACAAACGGACGCGAAAGCAAGTTAAAGAAAACGTTGGAAAATGGCTGTGGGGTTTGTACGGATGGTGTGCCATCGATGTTTAGGTCAAAATCGGGCTTTCAGAAAACAGTAAAAGATTTAGTCCCCCAACCAAGGGGAATCCACTGCATGATTCTCCGGTATGTCCTCGCCAGCAAGACTCTTCAGACTCCATCTATCTATCTCTATACTGCTAAAACACAAGTTTGTTTACATGTTTGAATATTTATTTGTTTTTTTTTGTTTGTCTGATTGGGTAATGGAGAGAATCTGCTCTATGTGGATAGCTGTAAAATAGTATGTAGGTAGAGAACAATTTTTGTTTTCAGACAGACTGTTAATCACAAATTTATTTAAAGACGTTAATTAATTTATTGATTTATTCATTGGTAGATTAACCACATTAATAAAAAAATTTTAGAAGTGACGTCACATGATTTGTTTACTTTTTAGTACAATAAATGGCGGCTCCAATACAAGATTTCGTATCTTATTCAGATCTTTAACGCGATCTAAAGCTAATTTTCTGTCGGCTATAAATTTAGCAATACGTCCGTTTGCTGTATTTATTACGTTCCAACACTTATATCATTTTTCAACTGTCTTTTTCATTTAGTTTTACAATACATTTCTCTAGATCTACAGATCAGCTGTCGAAGGAAGAAAAAGTTATGAATCTAGATCTAGGTCACTAGACTTAATAACGTAAATTCTAGATCTAGACTTAATGTAAATTCTTCATCTAGAATCTATTCCCCCGAAACCCACAGTTTTAAATCTAAAGACCTGTGCAAAGATATAAATAAAGATTACGAGTAATCTGTCAACAGGAAATATTGTGAATCGTGTTTTTGAAATGAACGATGAAATCAAGTTGTTCTTGGAGTGCAAATGAAACAAGACCTTTTGATATACTTTAACGATAAGGAGTGGTTGGAGAGAGTATGATACCTAGCAGTTATATTCGAACATCAACATAAGTTTAACCTGAAGCTTCAGGAAAAATGAACGAATTTTATCTCTTTTTCATGATAATCTCGGGGCATTTATCAAAGCTGCAAAATTGGCGAAGAAGAAATAAATCTTGGAAATATTGCTATGTTTGAGAAACTCTGCAGTGTGGTAGATGAATCGGATTGTGAGATAAATAACAATTTCTTCTTCTTCTTCTTCTTCGTTCTTAATTATTAGTGTTGAAGGGGTTCGAGATTTATCTGCCAGTGGGTTTGAAACTCGAGACTTTGTTCGAATTTATCAACCATGAGCTTTTTGCCGACTCGACCACGCCTCCAACACAATTAAGCGTTGCGTGTCAACTGGTTATGCGCCATATAGGCCGTTGACTCCGATTTCAGCCTGCTTTTCTTTTTGGATTTGCTTCCATAGCCTTTGTCCAACCAAGAACAAACTACAAGGCAGCAGTTGTTTAATTTTGGAGTTGTCTCTCCTAGAAGAGTGGCTGACCCCAGCTAACGAGCCTCATCTGCAATTTGAAATAAGCAATTGCTAGGCATCTTGAATCTCTTACAACGAACTGCGGCGTTATTTTCCCTGAGCTGAAAGAAGAAGAATAAGAAGAATCTGCTCCATTTCATACTCAAAGGTGAAACTAATTGCCTTTGGAGTTTTAGTTTCTTTTGTGTCTACGTATTTCTGCGAGAGTGGATTTTCAACACTTCTCCATTCTCCAATCAAACCAAAGAAATTAAATATTGAGAATGACATGAGGTTGGCGTTAACAAAAACTCAACCGCGGATGTTTAGTAAAAAGCATGCAATTTTATTCACCGTATTAAAACAGTATTAAAGAATAATTCATATTGTATGTCTACAACAAAACCTTATTTATTGCTTATTAATTTCCTTACTAATTTCGACTTTTTAATTCTATGGGGGTCGCGGGTGACTTAATCTATATATAATAATATATATATAATTCTCTTCTAGGAGACGCCAGAAAACAAGCTGTAAACGCGCTCCCTACCATCCCCAACTCTACATGGTCTTAGTGAGCTGTGGTTCACGCTATGTTTACCTTCGTGGAATCGGGTTTAGTGACGGCTATTAGGGGCAGATAATTTAGTTTGAAACGATTTTAAACGTTGGGGGGGGGGGGTGGGAGGAAGGGGGGGTTATGGTCCTTAACGAGCTACTTATAGTGTTTTAAAGAAATATTTTCAGTGTCAGCGTTAGTAGGCCTACTGTCGAATTCACAAATTATGAATTACTGAAAAGTAGAAAAAACAACAACTAAATAGCGGCGTATGTTATGCCGCGGGCCGGCTCGTTTTTATAAAAGGGGGTCGCCACTCAAAAAAGTTTGGGAACCACTACCCTAGACTATATGAAGTCTTGGATTGAAAGCTCTAGAGTATATTATGTCTTGGATTAGAAGCTCTAGACTACACGAAGTCTTGGATTGGAAGCTCTAACTATATGATGTCTTGAATAAGAAGCTCTAGACTATGATGAGCTCACCACGCTATCCACAGGTGTGAGATTATAAAACACCAGCTGTAAGAATGCGTTTGCTCCGTGTTCTGTGGGTCAGATTTGGAAGGCAATTACTCTCACATTGTGGTGCAATATTTTTTATTGATCTGTAATTTCACTGTGAATTAGGCATCAAACTAAATGACTTGACATCGAACTGATTGATTTGACATCGAACTATCAGCCGTGTAACATATTACTTTCTCATGTTTACAAGATGTCTGGTTTACGTTTGGTTGGTATTGGGTGATGTATGTTAGTAATTTACTTGATTTCTGCTGGTTATATGCTTGATGTCTGCTGGTTATATGCTAGATGTCTGCTGGTTATATGCTTGACGTCTGCAGAGATTTCAAAGTGTGACGCCACATTTCTCTGTTTAAACCATACTAGAAACTGCTTTGTTTCCTGCATTCGCCTCTTCTTTACGTGTACTATTGCTTTGGTTCTATAGAACTGCAAATTCTAGCGAAAACAAATTTTTGAAACCATGAAATTAAAATGAACCGAACCCTAAATAGGGCGTGTGTGGGTGTGGGTCCGGTCAGCTTGGCTCGATAAATTTCTTCACTCAGTCATATGACCTGTCATGCTGAGGTTTATTTATAGACGCCATATAGCGCTGGGCGGGGCAGGTAACTTGGGACTTGTGATTTTCTACCCACTGGTTTGTTGGTCGCGCTCGTAAATCGCCGACATTTACCGGACGCTGCGGCAAACTGCTTGTTGTCGAGGTGGTCCCTGGCTGCCGGAGTTCAAATGGTTATAATTAAGTTCTAAAACAAGTGGATGGGTGGGGGGGGGAACAGCCAGACAAGATGGTGCTGTTAAGTCAAACCAAGATGGCTGCCACCAAAAACTTCCTAGGTGTTTTCTCGATCTTTCCGCCACACCTGTCCCCACTAGGAGGACAACCAGACGACCATTGTGACCTCAGTAAAAGCTTGTTAAAAGAGATCAAGTACCGTTTCCTGTTGTAAAAATTAGTACCTCTCTCTGCGGTAAGCGAGCAGCTTTTGAAGTAAAAATGGTCGCCATGTTCCCACTGTGGAATATTCAGGTTGATGTTCAGATAAAGTTTAAGAAAATAAAATCATAAAATAAATGATCATCAGCCTAGAGCCCGTAGTATGTTACCTCAACGGGCCGATGAGCTGGTTTAATAGTCTCACTATTCCGTCTGTATGACAAGAATGCTCGGGCGATTTTAAGCTGCATGTGAATGGAAAATACAAGGATACAACGTTCGCTGCATGCAAGGTGAAGCCGCACATACTAACATTGCTCGCACATTTCCGAACTGGTGTCGTACTAACATTGCTGGAAGTAATCAATACTGATCTTAAAAACTGCATCAAAAGCGTTTTAATAACAAGCTTTTATGCAATAATGCACTAAAAAGAAATAAACCGGGAGTGATCTCCCCTAAACTTTCTCGAATATTTTTATATAAAATAACAGGGGATGGGAACTCGG